AAAAAAAAGAAACATCGAAATCGAAAGACAAAGGAAAAAGAAACGAACAAGGCTTATAATCAATCAATGAATTCAGCGGGCAAACTCGGTCCACACGGTGGTGAGCCACCCAGTCGGAGTACTCTCTGGAGAAACTGTGGCTGGTAGTTGATCATACTCGCACCCCTCTAGAAAAGCAAGTACATCGTCTCCACCCAAGCTCGTTGACCACAAGCTATTAGTGTTAACAACTTCCAGTCCATCCACGGTCACTGGCGGGGAGGCGCCAGGGTGGCCGACTGAGCCAGGAGGGGGCAACAATGGCAATCCATGTGATGACGCTGCCGCATTGATCGGAGGAAGTGATTGAGAATAAGGAGGAGGTGGCTGAGTGCGATTGAGCCAGGAATTCAACGGCTGCAGGCGGTTGGAAGCTGCTCCTGGACCATTGTACTGCGAAGACGCCGGGGTCGATGTAGATGGCGGAACGCCGTATGGTCCAGGCGGTCCCAGCGAAGGAAGGTTGGGGGACGACGAATTATACAACGGCCCATCCGGATGGTGTTGCAAAGACGGGAGAGAGTAAGGGGATTGAGATTGCAAGGAGCGATTAGGTGGCAATGGAAGACTAGGCCGACGTTCGCCGTCGGGTCCGGGCAGCGGCATACCAGGGCTGTTGATAGGGACCCAAGACTCACGTCTGCCCCCCGCGCCATCTAAGGGAGGCTCTCCAGTGTCTCCAGTCTCGCTGCGGACAGCATTACTGCCTGCATCGCTAAGGATCGTAGCCCGTTCACTCGCAGCAGCAAGACCGTCATCGTCGGCGCCACTCTCTGGAAGTTGGTCTTCGATAATACCAAAATCAAGGAACAACTTCTCCAGAAGCTTGAACTCCTCAAGACCGCCGCCCGATCCGCCCTCACGTACAGGGCGAATTCCATTGGCGTGAGCATCGGCCGGGTCAGCCGGGTCCGATTTGCGCGATTGCCGCCGAAAGTCACGTTTGACCTTGGAGAAGTACGTGTGCAACCGATTCAAAGTGCGGAACCAGCCACGCGCCATCTTGAGGCGAGGTCGCATCTCACGCAGGACATCAAGTGCTTTCCGGGCTTGCGCTTGTCCCTGCGTGTTTCGATCGCTCATATTCTTCGAGGCCAGTACCCCATCTGGGTCCATGTGCGGAAAATGAGCAGCGTAAATCCCGATGAAGACGGCATTGTACACTGCGAACCCCACGAGAGGGTTTTCTACCAGCACTCCTCGATCCTGGCAAGTCACGACCAGGTCCATCATTTGTCGGGCCGCGCTGAACAACACCCGAGCACTTTCACGCCAGAACCCATCAGCAAGGCCGGCCTTTTCCATTGGAAAGAGCGGCTCATCCAACGGTCCGACAGGTTCGGTGCATCGTACCGGGAGGAAGGGGATGTAAGCACGGTGAAGAACAATCACCGACAGGAAGTGGACCACATGCATGACAGTGTAAGGAGCGAGAGTGTTATTCTTGTACATGATGTGGGTGTCGGTGTTGCGAGGAGAGTACTGAAGGTTGCGGGACAACCCATCCTGGAATTCGCTCAGCATTGCTCGAAGCTTCGAAAAGCGTGACTCAGGGTGCCACGGAGGCCATTGCTCAGTTCTACTCACGGTCAGAATAAATCGTGCTAAGGGAATGAGCGCAGACATACCTTCTCCCCCCAGCACACGACCATTTGGCGATGCTGCCCCAGATGCGAATTATACGGATAATTCGACTGTGGACGGACTCTTCAGCACCGACTTCCCAGCGATCGATCTCATCCTCACTCGAGTCTTTCCGACGGGAGATAGGAGACCACGCTTTTGCATCTCCCGGACCAGCACTCGGCATTCGGTCGTCTCCCAAGCCTCCTAAGCTTTGTCGAATGCTGGGAATCTGAACTCCCTGAGCACCGAAACTTGTGGGGCGACGCACTGCGGGCTCACTCAAGCGTGACGTTCGAACACGTTCTCCAAAAGCAAAGGCGTTATCACTGGGGAGCTGGATGGCGAGCTCCTTGACGCGAATCATGCGAGGGCGGTACTTGCCACTGCTCAGACACCGGTCGAGGATGAAACAGGCCCAAAAGGTACGACGTTTCGTCTCTTGGGCGATGACATCGTCGGAAGTTTGTTCCCGTTGCTCGACAGGACGCCTGGGGAGCCCGAATAGGTCGGCTTCCGTTTTGAGAACGGGAGATCGAGGCCCCTCACGAAACGGCATCTCATTCTCCAGCTCAAAGGGCAGACCCATCGCTTGAGAAAGCCGAATAGCCATCCCCACGTATAGCCAAGCACTCCTCCCACGACACATTCCCCATTCATGCAAAGCCAGCATCAGCAAGGCTTGTACGCGCGTCAAATCGGGCACTGCCAGACTAGCACCATCAACGCCGGCCAGCCGGCTGCGCAACGCTGTCGCATAATATTCGGAGGCAACTAGAGGATTGGAGGGGTTTCCAAGGGACGATGGAGAGTGGTATGCGACAAGTTGAGGGTGAAAACGTGCCGTAAGAGCGAGTACACCGAGGGGAATGAGCGGGTTGAGATCTGATTTAGTCGCAGGAGGACTTTGCGCGGGATCGCGTGTCGCATCGGCGTTGTTCGGAGGAGAGGGGTTAGAGGAATTGGAGGAAAGCTGACGCGCTTGGCCGATAAAAGATGCGGGATGTACGAAGGGTAGCATAGTCGCGAAGTGGGATTGGAAAAGATCGAAGACGGCATCCCAAACTTTGTTGGTCAGGATTGATGCATCAAGCACATCGGCACCAATCCTGGACGCATCTTTAGCAGCTGTAGAAGAGAGACCAACGGTCTTGCGCGAGCGTTGTCGCTTGGGGCTGTCCCAATCGCCGTTGCGCTCCTCGCCCTCCGCCAGGGCGGCAAGGTCCCGTTTCGCGGCACCACCGCCCATGCCGATTGCGGGGGCGGGATATACACATTCTCGGCCAGAGGACTCACACGCGCGACAAGTTGTGTCAATGCCAGCGTTCACACATTTGATCTTGCTCCGCCGACAGCGAGCACAGGCAATACTAGAGCGCATTGTGATGAAAAGGGTGGGCACGAGAGACGGGCAAGCCGTCTCTCTGATAAGATACGAAGGAAGGAAAGGACGGAGGGGGCAACGATGGTGGGAAAGAAGGGTTGGAGGAAGAGGAGGGACGACAGCCCCAAGGACTGCAGGCACCAAGAGCGAAGAGGTAGCAGTAGTGGTGGTTTGTGTCTCCGCAGGTCGTTACAGTTCCCGTCCGCCGTATTTCTCCGGTCAATTTTCCCCGGGATTCCGAGCCAGACGCCAGACGGTCTGGGTTGCAAGGGGGGACAACAGCGATGCCCGGTCTTTTCACGGGCTGTTGTTCGTTGTTCGCTGTCAGTACCACAACCCGGTTTTTGAGGGGGGGGGAGAGGGGGTAGAGCTTTGAGGATCCACTGAGGAGGTCCGTGACGAAGCGTGCACTTACAGATCTTTTGAAGGATGTTTATTGGCGTAGGATCTTTGCGTTCTGATGCCGGTAGCACGCAAGGGGAGTCAGGTCTGAAGCCGGGAAGTAGTCGGTCAGTTAGGAAATAGGTGTGGGAGTAGAGGCTGGCGACAGCGATATTGCGATGTTCTCAACCAACGCAGCAAGATGGTAGCAGAAGGGAAGGTGTAGGAAAGGAAGGCGAAAAAAAGAAAAAGAGAGGAAAAAAATCAAAGAAGTCCAGTTGGAGTGGAGAGGGCGTGGGATGAGTACAAAAAGGAAGAGAGTGGCCGTAGGTAGTAGACGGCCGGGGAACGGGAAAAATGGAACCGAATGCGATAGGCGCGAGAATTCGGGCACACGAGAAATTAAATTAAACCCCCGATGTAAGCAAAGTGTGCGACTGGGGGAGAGAAGGTGGAGGAGGGGGGGAAGAGTGGAGGAGATGGAAAAAAGGAAGAATCCAGATGGAGTCTGGTCGGGTAAGAAAGGGAGAGTTCGGCGAGGCTAGTGTGGGTGTGGGGGAGAGAATGTAAGGATGAGAGGAAGTGTGGATGGATGGGGGTGGTTAATTAGGAGGGAAAGAAGAGGATGGGGAGGGAAAAGACAACAGACGCATAGAGTAATGGGCAAGTAAAGAAAAATCCCTTCACAAAAAATCATGGATATGATTAAAAAAAAGATTCGAAAAGAAAAAAAAGAAAGGGAAGTCACATAAAAAGCATAATGATAAAAAAGAAAATAATAATAATAATAATAATAATAATTTGCAAAGCGCTAATAACAATGAAGAGAACAAGCAAAGCAGGCAGGCAAGCAAGCAAATCGCCAGACTAACCGTAAAGACGGAATACGCGGAGTGTGGGGGAGAGCCCGACTCTCTTCTCGCCCAGGGTCGGGGCTCCGGTCCGGCAACGCGCGCGTGGGTTGCGCAGGGGACAATGTCTGGCAACCTCAACTCGGGTAGATTAGGGAAGGGGAAGCTTGACGATAGATGGAGAAATTATGATTCAAGAAGCCCGGGGGAAGGAAGGGAAGGGAAGGGAAGGGAGAGGGGACTAAGAGCAGTATTAGTCCCAAAATGGCTTCTATTCAAGGCGGACTGGCCCCATCTGACGATGATGATGATGATGATGATATAGACGAAGAAGAAGTTGAAGAAAAGAGAAGCTGAGAAGTCCGGCCGAGGGTTGAACAGCGTCAAGGGAATCCCAACCAGGCAAGGCGCCATCCGCATTTGCGGAGGCCCGACAAGATTTAGTCCGGAGCGGGTCTAGTGCGGCCTGAGGATGCAAGGACGCGACCGAGCGGCCGGAGAGAATGAGAGTGTGGAGCAAGATTCCGAGTGCCGAGATGGGAAAAGACTCAGGTGAATAATGAATTTCCTGGAGAGAGAAGTTGAAGATTCTGACCACGATATGTTGGACTGGCTATCTTAATAGATAGAACTCTACCTGTAATAAAACGGAAATAATAGAAACAATTGAAAGTACATCCTTCATTCTCTCTGCAATGGCGGTTGAAAACAAACAATAATGAAAAAAATCAATTTATGAGTACAGTACTTCGTACATAAGAAACAAAGCCCAGCAGCACCACCCGTGAATCAGGGAAGAGTCCCGAGTCGAGTCGGGTAAATTACCTACCCTCCTAGACAACTTGCTGGTTGGGTCACGGCGTCACGCTGGGTAATAATACACGGACTCGGGTGCCAGTTGGCGGCGACAGCCGATGTTGCTTCGGTATGTTGGCTGGGCCATGCCGTCTGGTGTTCCTCCACTATTCAGGTACTGTACGCCCGTACAATCAATCACCCATACCCCCCATGAGATCAGAAGGGGGAGTGTAGTGGTGGGAGAACCTTGAACAGGAGGGAAAAAGAGGGGAAGAGAAGCGAGATGGATCACAAAGATCATCAGGGAAAGACTCATTTTGTCGTCATTATTGAGTCTCACATACTGATTGATCATTTACACCCAGGCCAACTCCTGACTCCTGATCTGATCTGATCTGGTCTCTGGTCTGGTCTGGTCTGGTCTGGTACCGACCGACCGACCGAAGGACTGAGAGACAGAGAGACAGACAGGATGCCGGTTAGCAGCAGCTGTGTGTGGAACGTCACTTGACCGCCATCTGGCCCATTCCATTACCTAACTTGACCTTTCCCCAGCCCTGCTCCCGGCTTATTGTCGTCGATCAATGTCAGTCCCCGAGCAGTGACTGATCAAGTACTCCGTGGAGGTGGATCAATCAGGGTTGTTATGGCAAGTGTCGAAGACAATTATTGAAACGAGGGTCTCTCTAATTGCTACAATAACACCTCAGGAGACGATTAGTCGAGTTGGGGGAACGGGGGTACCCAGAAGACGTTGACACTCACCCCCCTTCTTCCCCCAGTGAAAACCGTTACAAAGAATCCGGGGATTGCATGACGCGAACCCCCAAAAAGACAATACCGCCGACCCGGCCACCGCGAACCCATCATCCCTCCCTTTAATCAATCCCTCTGTTCCATGTCTACATGACTACACGACTCGACACATTAACATATCCAGCCCCGACCTCCACAACAATCCAACCATCCAACCACTCTTACTCGGGCACACGGCCTGATCGCTTGGATGCTGCCACTGCCGCCAGTCACAGCCCACCGACTAACCCAGCCACAATACCCCGGAATGCAAGTCTAAACTCAACCCCAACCCCAGAACAGCAAGTGACACGGGTCAATCCCCGGTTAAGCCAAACGGGACGGCGAAGGGTAGGCGACGGAGGAATAAGAACGACAAGGAGGGGCAAAAAGTAACGGCAACTGAATCTCAGCCGACCATAATTCGTGATAAACCTCGGGTATCGACGCATCTGACGGGCGAGCCAAGACGCCCAGGGCTGACATAGCCAGACGGCTTCGCATTTCTCGTTTTCGTGCCCCAGATCTCAGTCCTCTCGTCGCGGAGGGTATTCTCTTGTCGGATGTCTCTTTTCCCACCTCCCCTGCATCGGATCTCCCCGCGGGGGAGAAGAGCGAGATGAGATCACGATCAGCCCGGGCTCCCTTCGCTAGGCGCCCGCGGTCACTGGCCGGACACCCTATGCAGCACAGAGTTGTCTCATCTGCTTTCCCCCCTCCTCTTCCTCCTCCTTTCCCTGCTGCTGCTGCTGCTTCTGCTGCTTCTTTCTTGGACCGGACTGAATGAAGAGAGGAAGATCGTATATCATCCCTGACGGGATTGGTTGCCGGCAGGGATATGGTACCCGATCGACAGAGTCCCGAGGAATCCTACTCGCTGACATTCAAGCCTCAAAAGGCCTGTGCAGCTCGGTGGTGGTCATGGACCCCAATTGGTTATGCACCCCCAGTCCATTCTTGAAAAAATGTTACCATTGTCATCACAGGCTGGTTGATAGGTACGGTAGGTAGGTACCTACCCTAGTACCTCCACCTAGTACCTAGTATGCTGCACTTCCCATTTGGGCGAGTCAGCTCATTGTACTGTAGTTACCTCAGTTAGTACTAAGTCTGTACATTACGTATGATGATTGATCCTAAGCCGACCGATCGGAGCCAACCCGGCAAGTCCCCGCGCCCATTTAACCGGTTATCCCGTGGCCGCTCAATCGGGCCAACCGGGGATGCTGATTGGTCTCCACCGCCACCCGAGGCATCAAGCGAACCGACCCCGCAATCACGGAGAAAGGCTGAGGAGCAACTTGTTGGAACAATGGAAATTATTCATTAGTCATGTCCTCATGCCCTGAATGGGGGCAGCCAACGCGCGACTGGTGACTGCACAAGACAAACCCCCATTCCCCCAACCCCCCCCCCCCCCCCCCCCCCCCCCCCCCCCCCCCCCCCCCCAAAATTTACCCCCTCCGGAGGTCGACCGATGTGACGACGGAGAGACACTAAGACTGAGGAAGGAAGGTCCCTTCTGCCACTAAGCCACCACCTGCCCACCTGCTGATGTTCTTTCTGCTTGCAGTAAGTTCATCCGCCGCCTGTTAAGCCGCCGGGGTTGCTGGCTCGGGAGTCTGACGACGGGACCTTACCATGGGTGGGATGAGGAGACGCTGGTCGGCAAACCAGCAAGCAACAACAATTATTCCTAGCCCTGGGAACAGGTTGTCTTCGGCACACCATCACATGCACCTCTGAAATACGGAGAACAACGAGTCTGGTCTGCATGCCAGTGACCCGAGGATCATCATCCCGACCCCTCCTCTCAGACAGACGGTTAGACTAGACAGCCACAATTCTTTTCTCTTTCAGACCAGGGGAAAGAGGTTTTCATCACAGTGACCACACGGGAAGTGTGAAAAATCGAGAAAGTACCAACCACAAAAAGAAAAAAAAAATCCCCAACGATCCCATGACCTGGCCCCAAGACAAATCCAGCCAAGCCATGCCCAGCCAACCACCACGCGACCCCCTCTCCACTCCGCCCAGTCCTTTGAGAGTCTTACAACTTCACCAAAGTGACTCCAAGGCAATGAAACCTATTGAAGCCCTCTTTCTATCCCGCTTTCGTCATAGCTCGGCTCTTCTCCCCAGGTGTCTTCCCCCCCGAATCGGCCAGGCCCGCCAGTGCGGTCAATGAACGGTCGACCATTCGTTGGCCTGTCCATGCCACGAGTTGCACTAATCCGAACAAGGCTAGCTGCCTCCCGACGGAGCACCTCCAGAGTGGCAGAGCCTGGAGCTCGACTACCTTTTCCAGGCCTGAGGCATCCCCGATTCTTCTCCGGTTGCTTCGGGGAAAGAAAAAGGTGGGGAGCGTTTGTCTGGTGGGCACAACTCTTTTCCGGGGCCGCATTTTATCCATCAATTCCCTCACTTACGGGTAATTACAGATGCTGAACTGACAGCTCGTCAATTTTACTTGCTTACCATGCTTACCATGCTGCTAGGTGCCGCCCAGGCCTTCCGCAATCTAGTCGTTGCAATGGTTGCACCTTATCTGGCTTGCACCATCTTGTCTCGGATTCACCAGATGCACGTGGGTTGCGCTCAACCCTAATTGTTTGCCGGGGTTGTATGGAGCGCTAATCCATCCTACTACAGTCCAGCAACCGGATACTTGTCCGGTTGGTTCCTTCACGGTCTCCTTGTACTAGCAGGTGACTTTGTGCCTTTCTTCGCTCTCTCACCGATAAGTCCTAGATAGGCCCGGCCAGTATATGCTATCTTACCACCAAACGATTCGCTAAGATCGTTCGTCCCGCGTCGACCCCCTGAACATTGTAGCAACGGCTATGGGTTTTTTTTCGTTCCCGTCAGAATTGCACCCAGATTACACGATTCTGAGCGAACGCTCGGTTCCTAGAAAGCGGTCAAAGAGCCTAGCTGCCTACTAGGTAGTAAGCTGGAGTAAAGCTCATCCAGATGCCGGGCTGTCCCGAACTCAGCCGAACCAGAATAAGAAGCCTTTGGAGTCTCGATCTGCGTCTGAGAGACTGGACCTGATCCCGCCATTCAGCGGCTTTTTCTTAGTAACAGCCTGTCATGCGGACAGAGGATCTTAGGCGAGAACCCTCCCCAGCGGGCCTCGCCTGTGGTGGCTTAAATTGGCAGGCGACGGACACAGCCTGGAGATTCGGAACTTTGGGGTCCTTGGGTTCCGACATAGGTTCAACTTTCCTACCGGATAAAGCAAGCCGATTTGTTTACGAGTGCAATGCGATCGATGGAGTTAGTATCGCGGAATACGCTAGGGGGTGTGGAAACCCGTTCAAAAGGATGTGTGGCAAATCGATGCGGAGGACGAGCAATGGAGCAGCCGGACCCCAGACTCTGACATGTCACGTATCACCGTGTTCCCCCATTCCGTCCCCCTCAGATCAAGTCGGTTATGCTTTCGCGTTCCCCTCTCACCCTTCTCCTCCTCTTCCCGCCGCCGTGAGGAGCCCGGTTAACCGGGGAAGAGTGGTGGTGTTTACACGGGGATAAATAAGTCCGTAGTTCGGATGATCGTAACCTGGCTCAAAGATAACGGAGGGATGGGGGTATGGTTGACAAAGGTACAGGAGATGTAGACTCTGACTCTGTTCTAACACCAGAACATGTAGGAACATTGCACTCAGTCGAAGAATGCGGCTTTCAAGGTGGTGGGAAGCCCCTCCAAGTGACTTGTGAAGATGGCAGAGCTCACTCCCGATACCACCGCCCCGGGATTTTCCGTCCGTCGGCCTTCCGTCATTGCATTCAAATGAAGAATTGGAGACTGGCAGCCGCCGCGAACCGGATTTATCGATTGTTCTATCGTTTTATGCTTGCGTACGACCGAGGTGAGATTGGATCTTTGTGGGCCAAAACCACTGTCTGCCACTTCTGTCTGTGATGGACTTGCCCCCGGGGACGATGAACATCCGACTTCGGCCAGATTCTGCAGTCCTCATACATGCATGCTCTCAAGCAATGTACAATGTCGACTTTCCTTATGCTAGCTATGCTAGTGGAATATACACGTTCGGAGCAACCGCCGGCACTGTTTCCTCCCAGAGGCTGTCTCGGATAATCTTCTATGGGTAGCATTCGTGGAGGGGACTCAAACGTAGCGGGACACGATTATCTCCGATCCTCTTGTCCTGTTGGTCCGCAAGCCCTAATGTGCTCGCATTATTTTCATGCCGATATTTATGTAAAACGGCATTGTAAGTATAACTCAATGTATAGGATTCGCATGCTAGGTGCGCAAGTATGTGCAATACCTACCGCCTCAGCTGAATAGATATCCCTGGCGAAGCCACTCTCTCCAATAGAAAGAAAGGTTTATATTGCAGCTATGACGGTCTTGATCTGCTACTTTGCTATCTTTATGCGTAGGCGCTTTCTGGATCATGTTTCTATGGGCTGGTTATTCTCAATCTTGAATTGGAGGATGTTAGAATAAGCTGCTGCTGTTGCTGTTGCGTCGCTGCAGGCTGTGTCGGAAATATATTCCCGATGGGTTTCGGGTTGGACATCGAGGGCAGTCGATGTTATTTATACAATTTTAATAAGGAGAAGGTGTGTCTCTGGCTCGAAGAGTCTGAGCTATCCAGTCCGGTTTCCCATAATTTGATTTCTTGATTGTGTGGTGTAAATGACTTGGTGGTCGAGACTGCTGGTAATGCTACGGCATCACTGAGCAAGAGGACTTGTTGTATCACATGTAGACATGTGCTATGCATTGCTCGAGGGTAGTATTTTGTCCACGTCTACTGATTAATGGATGCGATTCGGGTTCATTGGATATAATCATACGAGGGAAGGAAGGTGTGCCCTTTCCTTTGGAGCAAGACTCTTGATTTTGTAGGACTCATGATCGCTTACTGTATGTAGCATGCCGATTCCCGCAGAATACTCAAGCTGGTCCGCGCACCTGGCGCGTGTGATTGAAGGTGAAACAAGCCCTTCGCGAATAGTTGTAAACTCAACGCTAACCAGAAAGTGCTCGGGAGGTGACGCCTTTTCCTCAGAAAACCGATAGTCCCCATAAAAGCCCACTCACAACGCCGAAAATAAACACCCAAATGCAAAGAATCATCCAGGTACCTCTTGACAATACGTGCAGAGTCGATTACTGCCGGCTCTGCGTCCGCCCGAACGAGAAGAACGAGCCCCATCCTCGGTGTGTCGCGGCCGGTCCAGATGCGTCCGGCTTCTCGACCTGGCCCGCGGCCGCGTGGTGTGCTCGAGACGCAGACCGGGTTTCAGCGTCTGCGCGGGTGCCGACCCGGTCCAACTGGCTTGATGGCGTTTTGGCGATCGAAGCCCGCTCGATGTCCGGGGTGACGCGCTCGGTCGAGTAGAGCGCTTCGCGCATCTGCCAGCGCCGTTTCTTGAACACGATGAAGATGGTTGTGAACGAGACTGCGCTTTCTTGGTTAGCAGGCTGGGGGGATCCTCCCGTTTCTGGGGGGCGATCTGTTTGCTTGGATGGACGAGGGGACTGACTTCCGACAACGATAACTAAAGCGACGATCGTGCATAGAATGATCATGCCTTTCGAGGAGACGCTTTTCGTCTCCGAGGTCGACGTGGAGTTATTTTTTTGTTCGCCGTCTACTGCGTCGAGCACGCTCTGCGCGAAGGTCTGCGCGATCAGTGCTGCAATGACAGCGGGCAGGTAAAGCCGCCTTGAGAGCATAGCGCTGTGGTTATATGTGCGGGTTTATTGACGATCGGAGAGGAATAGGTGTGTGGAAGATCTGGATCGGCGACGCGCAGCGTTGTGTGACTTGAGATCTGGGCGAGAAGAGAAATGTCAGTGAAGTGGGAGATCGCGGGGGTATATGAGAAAGGAGCTTCTGCAGACTGGTGACTAGGTACTCAGGTATCTTTGGGCTTGACTTCTCTGCAGGTTCAACACCCAGGGGTTGTGGTGTTTCGAGAAGAGGAGCTATCCTTGACTGTTCGGTTGTGATAGGCCCGACGAAGACAGCCTTGACCTCTGCTGGATGGGCATTGGGTCGTCAGCTGCATCCATTAGGCCTGGCGAGTGGGCGTTTCAACCCTATGGTGATTGAAACATAGTATTAAATCAGAGACGAAATGCGCTCGGAGAAGGCGTGGTGTCGGCGCCTGCAAGTGACCAATGGTTCGATGGGGTCGGGCCCGTTTGTCGCTGGGGGGAAAACTGTAGGTTTAGCGCCGTCTCGCACTATAGCACCTACTATATTACACTGCAATACATTCATATCTTCCGGTCTAATATTAGGATAGCTTGCAGGGAGCTGCAGATACCTTTGTGCAGATGTCACGCAAATTAGCAACACTGTCAAGACTCGGTAACGCTGCAGAAAACAAAAAGAGTATCGCTGATCTTGGATACATTCACCCCAGTGCTGGTATGACTTCTATCTATACACCCAATTTGGAGGCTCAATCACTGTTATATTGAAGTATGATGGACTCTCTCACAGCGACAAGAGAAGACACCCCGCTGATGGCTGCTAAGGTATGTTGCGGATTGCCGAAAAAGGAAGGCACCTACCCAGACGGACGGTCCACCACCAGGTCACCCGGTCCCTGAAGGCCAGGATTGAACTTAAGTCTACCTAATCCTTTCACACCTCGCACTGATAGCTTACATTGCTTTTACCTCTTTCATTGTGATCTCGTCACTCCTTGCTCGATCTTCATGTCATGCTCTAAACTGGCCTGAGAGCTACGTCAATGTGCAGACTAGCGAGGTGCCAAAGATGGCTAACGAGACACCGTCCAACCTCACCACCGCCCCAGCCGGCACAGACAGTACGTTCGACGAGGTAGAGGAACTATTCTTGCTCCAGATGGCAGTTGCCAACAACGAGCCTCTTTCCCCACAGCTCAAGGTTGTAATGGCAACCCAAGACACTACTGCCTCAACCGACAAACCTGCGGAAAGACGTCCATCGCCATTGCTTATGGAGCGACCGAGAAGCTCTGGTCTGGACCTATTGGCTTTTTCTTTTGCAAAGCCTGCACAAGGTCGCAAGCCATTCACTCTTCAGGCATCAACTAAGCCATCGTCGTCCAGAGGTGGACTGAACAATACTACCACCCAGCACGAGCATGGTACAACCGAGCTCTCGAACGAGGCAACTAGAAGCTTATCAAGGTAAGTCCCTCTAGATGACTAGAGGGAGAGGACTATATTGCAGACCACTAAGTTTACCCTCTCCAACTAGTGATCGGCAAAGATCTGGCACGCAAAAGTCACAAACTCGGATCCGAGAGAATACGAGACAAGGTCCTAGACGACCCTGCTTCCCGCTTTCTGACAATGGCTTGCATGGTTCGAGTTCTGAGAAGGTTGTGGTGCCTGATGCAAACAAATTGCCTATCAATACCGAACACGGGACCCCTGTGTTCGAATCATCGAGTGGGTGGACCTGATTTCTCCAGATTCAAAGGTACCTGGCTTCTGACATTACTTGCAGCAAAAGACAACGAGATGAGGGAAACCTTGAGTCCCCCAAGCCATCATCCAATTTCCCAAGCGCCCGCAGTGAGCAGGGCCGACGATCATGGTACGCCTTTGGGTGATGGGCACGGTGCATCTAAGATTACGCATGCAGCACAGGATCTGGTTCTTCCTCAAATGCAGATCCCAGAGGCCAGTGAGATGGCCCAAACATATCCGGTGGGCCCTGCAAACGAGAAGTATAGGGTCTCTAAGCGCCGCCGCTCAAGCAAAAGTCGTCATTCACGCAATGTCAAACCAAGTCGCATAGCATCAGGAGACGATGGTTCTTCCTTGTCCGAAGAGAATCTGTTTCATTTGCTAATCGCACGGATAAAAGCTCGTGAAGAAAATGAGGCTGCCGCGGTCGAATTGAGAGAGCAGATGGAAGCTTGCATCTCTGGCCTGGCTGACGAAAATAAAGCGCTGAAGAGTCAACTTGCAGTATCCGACAAGGTCATCCGTAAGAGAACGATCGAATTGGGAGCTTACAAATCCCAGGTCGATGCATGGCAGTCGAAGATATCGAACATCAAAGGCTTTGTCAACCAGCTTGGTTCCGACTTTCAGACCCTCCGTAGCGATGCAAGCCGGCTCTTGGCGGCGAAGAAGAGCGTGCATGACGAAAAGACAGATATTGACAGAAGTATTAGTGATGCTAAGGCACAAGTAGCTAAAGCTTCAGATGCTGCCAGCAAAAGAAGAGAGCAGCTATTGCGGTCAGAGAGCCAGGTTGACCTACTGAAACAGGCCCTTTCTGCAACAGAGGAGAAGACTAGATATGTTCGAGGACAGCTTTCTGATGAGAAGAAAAGAACCAGACTTCTTGAGCAATACATCCAAGAATGCTCCCGCAGTCAAGAACCAAAGCTTAATCAGATCAGGGCTGATCAGCTAGCGATTCTGAAGCGATTCGAGGCCGTGTTTCACACCTTGGGTAGCCAGCAACAGCTCTCTCAAAACAGCATTCAGCAGATGATCGGTCCTAGCTTAGACAAATGTGTTACAACACTTGATAATCTCTGTTTGAAGGTTGCGAACAACGACTCGAGTGTAAAGGTCTGCATTGACGGAGTCAAGGGTGAAATATCACGGTGAGCTCTCAAATTAAGTCAATGCTGCCTTATTGCTGATCACGAGAGAAAAGCATGGGAAGTGAATTGACTCAACTACACGACTTGACCAAAGAATGCCGCGCAAACGATGGCGGCTATATGACGAACCTGACCGAGCAACTCCAAAGGGTCACAAGTCAGATTGCGAGCGAATCGACGCTGGTCGAGGGAATTTCCAGGAATACGGAGCATTTCGGCGGACTAAGAGAAACCCTTGCGCGCCTGTTACCTTTGACTGATCAATTGAACTGTTCTATTGACGCATTGAAGGACAACGAAGCAAGGCTTTGCGGCCAAATGAAGCAACTCGAAGCCGACCTAGGTGATGCGCGGACTCTCAAGAATGCTGAATCTGCTGCACTTGAACTCACGCGTCACGAGTTGGAGAAAGCTCAAGTAGAGGGAAGGATGCAGAAAGTGGTGGCGGAGTCGGAAGTCATGGCAGAGGAATTGAGAGCAAAGGATCTCGAGAACAAATCCATTCAATCTTCCCTGCTTAAGGCAGAATCACGAACTCAAGAGGTAGAATCTTGTGTCATGCAGCTCGAATCGGAAGTTGTCACCCTGAGAGATGCAGTCAAGAAGAAGGAGAACCAAGTCCGAGAGGAGTTGGGTCGGGCCAGTGTCATCGCTCGCGAGCAGATAAAGGCCAGATACGAACAGCAACACCGCGATCTGCTGAAAGAGAAAGCCGATCTAGCACAATCAGTGGATCTTCTTCAAAAGCAGCTTGACGATACCAAGTCAACATTCGTAAGATGCCCTTTCCCAACTTCTCAGTCATGTGAGCTAAAAATTGACAGGATGAGTTCAAAAATACACGAGACAAAGAACATGCCGCTCAAGGTGTCCTTGTGAGTGGCCTGTATGACGACTAGCCGGGCGAGTTCTAATTATTTATAGCTTGATTCGAAGGCAAAGGAAGTTGAAGAGTTGACTTGTCGTGAATCCGAGACGGCCACTAAATTAGCCGAGCAAGAGCAAGAGCTGACAAGACTGGCGGAACAGACAGCTCTGGCCGAAGCGCGGAGTACCTGTCTCCAAAATCAAATTGAGGAGACGAACAAGAAGGCACTCGCCCTCGGAAATGATCTTATTAATACTCGTGACGAAAAAGACAAGGTTCTGACAGATTTGCAGCATAAGCTCGACGCGCTTTTGCAAGACAACATGGAGAAACAAGAAGAGTGTCACAAAATCCAGGAGAGGCTCACAGGTGTCCTAGCAGAACGAGCGGATCTTGAGAGCAGCAAGCTGAAGACAAAGGATGAAATCCACGCAGTCCTTAAGCGAGTTCAAGACTCAGAAGCGTGGGTAAACAAACTCAAGGAGCTTCTCGGTCGCGCAGGTCTCGCGGCGGCTACAGACTCGCTTGCGGAGGTCTGGAGCAGGTTTGAGGTGACTTTGCTCTCTACGGCTGGCATTGCGCTTGAGAGTCGACATGATATTCGGGTCAATCTTGCTGAAGAAAGGTCCCTCGGTGCCAGTAGCGGTGGATTGCTTCCCCAGGAGGATATCGAAAAGCCTGAGCAGATCAATTCCAAGTTGACAAGAGCCGTTACTACAGTACCTGACAGCCAGGCAACCACTTGTCTTTCACCAGCAAGGCGAAGCGACAAAATTAGTAATGACGAGGCTTCTGTGGACTCAATGTGCTTGTTGAAGTCAGGTATTGTTCCGTTTTCCAGCATCCAGCAGCAATCCCCTCGCACTGAATGCCTGCTTCCAAGCAACGACAGCTTTGACCTCGCAGCCATGCTTATATTCACTCCGGAAAGGGAATCAGTGGTAGATAGCTCTACCGTGGCAGAACTAGCTGCGAACTGTTCTACAAGCTCGCCTAAGCGTAAGGGACAAGACTCGATGGAAGGGCAACAGAACTCCCCATCAAAAAGTTCTCCGAAGGCCGCAAGCCCTAAGGATGATGGCAGTCCACGCAGAGTTGAAAAAGCACCCACGGTACTCAAGCTACACTTGAGTAGTGGAAACAGCAGACCGGGTGATAACAGAGCGAAGCACAGATCAGTCACATTCAAGACTAAAGTCCCAGATCCGCAAAAAGGGAAACGCAAATTACACGATATGGAGACCGCTCACAGCCAGGGTAGCTCCGCAGACAGCTTTGATGAAGATAATTCCATGCGTTCGCGAAGAACATACTCTAAGCAGCAACAGCAGTCAATGACTCGGATTCAGGAGAAGTCCAAGGGTCCAGCAGCAAGCGCCTCCAAAGAAGACATTGCACATGAAGTCACTGAAGCTGGAACGCCCCGCTCTATCATGAACAAGAGGACTAGAGTATCCTTCGACACAATCAAGACTACATCGCAGACGAAGACAGTGACGGAGTACTTCGATCGCAAAACGAGCCCTGAAAAGCTTGCTTCTGGAAGCAGTAGACCTGCGCTGAATGACAATCAAACTGGATTCCAGAAGAAGCCGACTCGAGGTGGTAGAGGCGGCGGCCGAAAAACAAGAGGTGAGTAGGTTCTGATGGTTAATCAAGTGTTCGTTGCTAAAGCACCAAGGTGATCGCTATAATGCCCGCTTCAGCCGAGGAAAGTAAATTCCAGTGAGATATGCCCAATTCGAGGACTCTTCCACGCCGATAATGGTGTTAGTATGTGATAACATCGAATTATTTTTGCTCGTTTGTTGATTTATGGTGGTTTAGTTGATATCCTTATGCGATGAACTTGTGATGTTGATGAAACTGATAAATCTCTCATATGTGCTTCGAACCTTTCAGTTCATGAAAACATTGATATTGCTTCCTTGCAGGCGAGTTTTCCAGTGAGAAGGAATTTGTGAAGTAATTTGTGATATATTGAACGATGATGGACCCAGATTGTACTGCTCTAAAACGCCAGAATGCAACACAAGGAAAGCAGACAGCTTTGACATACATGGAGATGTTGAGTGCATCCCACAATTTGAAGTCTTGGCTGTTGCGCTGTATAATATACATGATCATATCTTCAAAAGTTGGAGAGAGTTCGGCGACTCGCTGCATGGAGGTGGTGGCCGTGCTGGTTGTTCCGATGTTCTCCGCGAATCGATAACAATGAAGCGAGGAAACGGTATCAGGGATTTGTCCAGGCCGAGATCTGTTTTGGGAGTGTTGCGACGAAGACGAACCGACCGTCGAATGATGCGCGAGACGCCGTTTGACGGCAGCGAGAGCTTCCATGGAGCCGACGAACCACTTTATTTGTTCCGACCACCCTTGGTCGCCTCGAGGAAGAGGACCTGCTTCTTCACGACGGGATCGTACTTGAGCATGCTGAGCGGACGGTGCGTACGCGGCCGGACCATTGTGCGGTAAAAGCCAGTCATGGCCATGGAGATGAGACGGACGGTGATGGTACGGGACTTGGCTATACACGTGGGGAAAGAAGAGATTAGCTTCTGTTCGTAGACATGTCTCTCAAGTGCTCGAAGGACTGGGAAAAGTGATGCGCGACGTTTTTTTCTTCTTGTCCGACCGGGCTGGATGTCCCGCTAGCCACGGGCAATTGAAATCCAAAGGTGCTGTCAATCGAGGTAGTACTCACCTTTCTTTGCCATTTTGTGCAGGAAGTGTGATGAGCGCGCTGAGGTTGTGAGGCGTAAGGTTGGTGGTTCGGAGGATCAAAGTCTTGCGTCTGCGCGATCGGGGATGCGGAGGTTGCGGCGGAGGTTTGGTGGAAACTTTGGCTGTGCCTCTTTCGTGATGCAGTCACGTGACTAGGCGGTGAGGGCTGTACTGTGTACGGAGTAGATTCCACTTCCAAGTTGTCTACTCCGTATCGCGGGCTCCTTTCCCGATGGGGTTTAGATCAGGGCGGATGGATTACGGGTCTTGGTTTTTGGTGCAGTGGGTGCTTCTACATCTGCACTCATCACTATAACAGTACAACTATCTCTACATGAACGTTCAACTCCTCAGAGCGGAGTTCTTGATCCTCTCGGAATGCTTTGCTCGACTTGTAATGCTTGTCTACCATATTTCTCGATTCTTGCCACTCAATTGGTCACTGCTACCTCAATTCTTGATTCACAGTGCAACCGCGTCCCGAATTATGGGCGGCACGTGGCTTGCAGCTGCGAGGCTGGAGTTGAGACCTTTGCTCTGTAACAGCTGATCAATCGCAATACTTGATAGACGATATTCACAGACACGAATCAAGTTATTGGTTTGGCATCAAACTTCATTGCATCAGGACGGTGAATGCGATGCCCAATACCGCTCTGATAATCAGAAATAGAATTCGACAGACACACTTGCTGTGCTGGAGATACGCTACACACCCTCCCATGACCTTTCCTGCTTTCTCCGCAAGCCGCACATTCGTTCTCCTTCAAGAGGGGAACAATCTGGAGATCCCTCGATTCTGCTTACCGATTGGGACCCGATACTCGACCTACGTTTGCCAGAACTCGTTCGAGATACCATCCTCATCTCTGCTTCTCAGGAACAACGCGCTCGTGTGGGTAAGTCTACGCATCCCCAGACCCCAAGGGTAGAAGACTAGGTGGTTGTCTGTTCCCATGATCGTTATGTGATGGTCGAGAAACAGGGAAGGGGGATGATTACCCTCCCCAACCACCCAAATCCATCATCTATACTTCTGGTCCCGGCATGGCTTGCTAGTGCCGGCTTTCTCTTGCTCCCGCGCATGCACGCCATTACCCGTGTGTGGATCGTCGATGATAACGTCTTGACTAACAGCTGCAGAAATCAAGGTCTAGACATCATCTGCCTCCGTCCTCTTACAAGCGCACGGCTAGTCTCGAGATCGACATGGCTTGTCAAGCTTGATAAGGGAAGGTGTAGAGGCTAGCTTTGGGCTCGGGGTGGGACGGATAAGTCGAGAAAACTTTGTTTCTGGCAGCAGCATTACTGGCGATATCACCATCGCGCATACTTCGACCTTCCGCGACCTTTGGAAATGACCAACTGCCCACCCAGAAGCTTGTCGAAGTGCTGGGGGTTCGAGCGCCATTTGAACACAAAAGATGTGTCCTGAATGAAAGTATGTTCTGGTACCGGATGGCACATTAGACTTCTCCTTGGATTGTCAGGCGACCCGGACTTATGCGCTATTGGCCCCTGCTATTATGGAGATCTATGCGGGTGCACCAGCCACACTTAACGGGGCACGCAGTCTTCATAGTATTTCCAGGGGGTTGAGTTCGTGAGTCGGATTTAGGTAAGGCTAATTTCCTTTTTGGTTTTTCAACGTAACATGCTGCATATGACTCAGGAAGAAGCTTTAATATTACTTCGTGTGGCTGGCATAGGGCACTGGATCCCAATCGGATTCTTCGTGATCTTTGTTCAGATCGTGTTATTGGGCGGGAGTTACCTATGCGCTTTGTGATTTGTCAACTTTATAGGTGGAAGGGAAGAAAAATTCTATGGATGGATCTTCTTATTGTCTTTCTCCGAGGAGATTTCTTTTCTTGCTTTTTTTTCGTTGTTTTTCCGTTTTCCTTACCACATATCGTTTTCTTCGTGGTTCTCGCCATACTCACTTGCAGCTTCAAACGTCTCGTCGATAACGTCCCCTTCCAGATCCATGCTGACATATTCGACCATGGGAAGGTTGAGATTCTGCACAAGGAGACGGGTTATGTCGGATACCGGAACCTCGGGTGGAGTGGCAGTGTCGTGGTATAGCAGATTGTTGTCCAAAGTTGCGCCTTGAAACGTGGGCCATGGCATGTCCGTCGCCCATACCCCGCAGCAAGGGCAAGTTGGAATAACCACTCTGGAGTCGCGTGTGTCAGGCCGGTTACGGGGATATGGCTCCCATCGATAGGAAGCGGAACCGGGCCGGGTTGTGACGGCAGAGCTGCTTGGTGTTGGAGGGTGCGTTGATGTAGGCCGGCGTCGCGGATTCCAGTTGCAATTACATGGGCCAGGGCGTTCGACCCGCACCGGTGCTTCACGGCGAACGTCCCAGTTCAGCGGCCTTCCGGCATCCTTCCGAATTAGCAGCTCCTGGATTGCACTCGCTGAGCTCGGGGCTACCTCGCGATCTCCATATTCCTCGACTAAACACAGGTAGGACTCGGGAATGGAAGATTTGAACAGGAACCGTATGATGTCCACTGTCGATACCACTGGAGCTGGGTCTGCCTCTGCCCACCGAGCTGCCTGCAACCGCTCCACTGCTCGGTCTCTTGGGCCGGTGTCACCGTTGGTGCAGCTGCTGATACTCGGAGCCTCAGCTTCCAGAGTTTGCATACCATTCATGATATTCAGCTCGCGCAGGTACTGTCGGTGTAGAAGCTCTTGTCTATCAATCTTCTGGAGCTCTTGAAGAACTTCCCACTCGAGCATCTGTCGATTATACTGCCTACAACTCCAAGCCAGCCAGCGGTCACGAGCAAGGCCCTCGGTATCGGAGTCTGTGCTTGGAATGGGCATGGGCACCCCCAAATCCAGGCGCTGCCCGGGAAGCGAGCGTTCGTATTCGTCTAGGCGAGCTTCCTGTTCCTGCGTCATGATGCAATAGATGATGCGGGGGCGGTCAATCCCACCAGGAGAACTGGGATCAGGGGAAGGAGGAGGATCGTGCCGGTCAGGATCGCGTGCCTGCTGGCGCAGGACGCGAAGTCTTCGATTGCGGTGGCATTCGAGGTTCTGGCACGGCGGTTGCATGAAGCCATTCGGTCCACAGCAGCGACACTGGCCGTCCAGCACGGGCGGAAATCCATGACTCGCGAGCCCTCGGCGTGCGCCTAGGGCCGCCCTGCACATTCCACATGACTCCGACTCCGTACTCCCTTCGTGCCAGAAGCAGTTCAACCACGTCATCTTGAAAGAGCTCGAGCTTCTGACGAAGCAGAACTTGTAGGAAGCTTTGTTGTTTTTTTGGTGCCGGTGTCTTGGAAAGGTTCTAGGTGGGCGTTTCTAGGACTGTTCCGTTGGACAGAAGGGGGGGAAGGGGACGCTCGAAGGAGCAAAACATTGATGCATTATATATTAGCTTTATGGCTGCAATGCTTTGTTGCTGGAGAAAGACAGTTGATGCACATCTTCCTCGAGGGCTGTATTTGATGCGAAGATCTCCGGCTGAAAGATAGAGCTTGAAGAGTACCTCAGCTGAAGAGCTCCTCTTGCTAATATTAACAATCAGTAGATGTCCCGGAAGCTTGTGTCCGACGGATTGAAATAATCATGAACTGGAAATGCCCTTGAGTTGAGGTGCATCCTCACTATGAGATTGGGATATGCTAGGCTATATCTGCTGCATTGGATTTCGGGTGTAAGTGACCTTTCTGCACTACTCTCGGCAGTGATACATATTCCGTTAGAATCCCCTCCGCTTTAACTTATATGTTTGAGGCGCAAGATCTTGGTCGGTGCATCATGGCTCGAGTTGCTGCCTTGTCATGTTACTATGCTGCATGGCTCACACTGGATTCTAGATACATAGCCGAGAAGATTCACTACCAACACTCCAACAGTACCCGTCGCAAACGACCCTCGCGCAAGGCCATGTAGACCTTACTCACCTGCGACCCGATGGTCAGCTTCCCCGCGCTCTGAGTCCGATCGACCGTCGGGTGATCCGCAAACCCCCGATGAAGCGGGACGCCCAGCTCCTCCCGCACAAAGGCGTAGAGCCGTCGCGACGCGCCGCAGAGGTAGGTTGGGGTGGGAAGGGAGGTGGTGGTCCGCGTGAAGCGCGTGGCGCGAACAGTCTCGTAGCTCTCGCGCAGCGTGCAAGCGAGAGTGCGCTTCCACGCGCGGAGCGATGGCCCCTCCGTCTCGCCAGCGCCAGCGCCAGCGTCCGGCGACGGTAGTAGGTCGAGCAGGGTGCCGGCGGTGCTCGTGGCGGTGCTCGTGCAGCGGTCGGCGAGGTCGAGGGTGCTGGATCGGGACCAGTGGTACATCAACTCGGCCCAGATGGTGGTGCGGATGTGTTGGAGGGTCGAGGGGTCCGCCGCCGCCGCCGTTCCCTGGCACGATGCAGCAGCAACCACCTTGTCGGTGAGAGCGTCGACCTTGGGCCGCACATCGCGCAGGAATTCGGTCTGCAACACGCGCAGGTCCAGCGCCTGGCACAGCACGTACAGGAAGGTGGCGGTCATCAGGGCTAGTACCTCGACGGCGTCGGCGGCGTAGCGGCACCCCACCAGGGCCAGCGAGTTGAGGCTCTGGTTGTGCATCTCGGCGGACTGCACGTGGTTGCTGACGGGGTGGTTGAGGTAGCCCAGCTCGGAGAGGTAGGCGGCCATGTTGATGTCGAGGCCCTTGAACGCGTACGACAGGCTGGGGTCGTCGAGGCTCAGGTTCGGCGGCAGCCCGTGGCTGAGCGCCGGGTTCAGCAGCTCCGAGCACTGCGCGAACAGCATCTTGCCCACCATCTGCACGCACCCCAGCGTCTTCTCCATCGCCGACGTGATCGCCGCCGCCTGGAAGTTGCCCCCATGGTGGACGTGGCGGCCCGCCACGCTGATCAGCGGGTTGTCCGTCGTCGAGTTGAGCTCCGTCGCCACCTGCCTGAGCGCCAGCGCCATCGTCTCGAGCTGCGGTCCCAGCCACTGTGTCGCTGTGCGCAGGGCATACCGGTCCTGGCTGAGCCCGGCGTGGCCCGCGGCGTCGGTCATGCTGCTGCTGTTGCCCGTAGCCTCACCCTCCGTGGACCGCGCCGCGAGACGGGAGTCAGCCAGGAAGCCGAAGATGTTGACGGCCGCTTCGATCTGCCCGTCGTGGGGTCGCACGGCCGCGATAAACGGGTGGTAGTTGTCCGCCTGGCCGGCGAGAGCCTCCGTAGCCATAGCGGTCAGGAGCTGTGAGAGGAGGAGGAGCTGGTTGGCTTCGAACAGGACCAGACTGGCGGCGCCGCAGCTGAAGGCCGTCCCGTTGAGCAGGCCGAGTCCCTCCTTGGGTCCCAGATCGAGTGCGGGGAGTCCCAGCTGCCGGAGGGCGTCGTCTGCGGGAAGGATCTGGTCGGTCTCGTGGACATGCACGGAGATGTCGGGGTTGCCCTCCAAGGTGCCGGCGATGTAGGAGAGCGGCGCCAGGTCGCCCGAGGCGGAGATGCTGCCCCGGAGCGGCACGACCGGCGTCATGCCGTGGCGCAACAGCGTGAGGATATGCTCGACCACGACCGGCCGCACGGCCGAATGACCGCGGAGCAGGGAATTGCAGCGCGTCAACATCGCCGCCCGGACCACGGGAATCGGCATGCTATGGCTCCGGTGGCAGGGGCGGAAAGTGGTGGCGGCGGCGGCACCCCAAACCCCCGGGGAGGATTGTTGTCGATCGCTGGGCAGAAGAACGCACGAGGTTTGCATCTGAATTAGGGCCTTCTGGAGGCCGGCGTAGTGCGTGGTCCGCGTGTCCGCACTGCCGCCGAACCCCGTGTTGACCCCGTACACCACTTCGCCGCGCTGCAGCTGCTGATCCAGAAAGTCCACGCTGGCTTCCATGCTTTGACGGATAGTGGGGTCATTGGTCATGGTGGCATGCTGGCCGTATCTGGGGTAGATTCGATTAGGGGGTGGAGGGGAAGTGAGTGGATGGACCGGGGTCCGGGGAAAGAAAACATACTGAGCCACGACAACCACCGCACCCACATCTAGGGTACTTCCGTTCAGCACCATTGGGGTCTTGCTTGTCAGTAGATCCTCTACCCTTTGACAGGAGGAGAGCACACTCTCCGTAAGGGACAGGCCACGAGCATTGCGCAATGTTAAGTCTCCCATTGTGTTTGTTAGGGCACAATATGGTCGGGTCCCCCGTCGATTTACTGTTGAGGTTGTCGATACGGTGACCGGTGAGAGCCTGTCTGTTTAACAGCTTTATTTATCGTGGTTGTTTTTGGTCGTCCCAGACAGCCTGACCCCTCGCCAAGGATAACCCCGAATAGGCAAAAGAGGAGGATTCTGCAGGCGGGGATGAAGAATCGAGAAGATGGAGACGGTAAGACAAGAATGGACTTACCTCCCTATCCCAATGCCTTAGTTAGGCTGTTCATGTGCAGAGGCTGGGCCTGTTGAGTACTACTAGCATTTTAATTGCATCGTTAGTCCTTTTGTGGCGGCATCAGACGCCAAGATGGAGAAGGATTTTTAGACACAGGCCGGCCGGCCGGGCCGTCTGCATGACCAGAAGCAAATCATGCAGAAGCAAATGGGAAATAGCGGTGTAGCTCACAGCCTTTAAGGGGGATGGGATGGTTGAAGTTAGACGAGGGCCCTTGCAGATTTGCAGATTGTAGGGCAGGGTATGTTCAGGTATGTTCAGGTATGTGGCAACCACCGCCTTACATTCTGCTCGTTGATCTGACACAGCAGCAGAAGCCGAGCAATACAGGCGCTGCTTTCGTCGGCCGGGATATACTCCTGACCACCAACGTCCTCACTTTTACATCCGGGATGTCTTGACTGCAAACGGAAAAAATGAATCAGGTGTAGATGAAGTTATCATTACAAGGACATCCATCATTTGCAAGCGATCTGCACGGGGGGGTCATGCTCGTGCTTTCCTCTAGGTTGGCCTCGAACGGCATGTGGCTGTGCATGAATTGAGTCCCAAAAATAAGGGCACAAGTGAGACAGAACACCCTGCATATCATTTGTTTTCCATTGCCACGATGTGGCGAAGACTACACCCCCTCGACGAATACGGTGAACGCGTGCAGTATGGATGAGACACGGGGAGCTCCCCTCCATCCCCTTACCAGCTCACGATCTTCCTGCATGGCACGACGCCTCCAAACCAGAACAGTACAGGGAGAGTCGAGACCCCCGTCAGTAAGCCCAACACCCCGGTCATCGTGGCCCAACCCGCACCTTGGCGAATGTAGCCCGCCAGCAGAGGGCCGGCAATGGAGCCAGCCGCGTAGGCGGAGTTGGCCAAGCCGTACGCCAGGCCCATAGCCCCCTGGGTGCCAAAGGTCGACGGGGCCTCCTGCTCCTTCTCGGCCGCGGCATACGAATTCTCCGCCAGGACCAAGGGGAACAACAGACTCATGCACACTCCTAGCAGGAGGAGCAGGACACAGAGGAGGACCTTGTGCGCAAGGTCATTGTCGGAGACCAGACGAAGAAGGACGGCCGGGGGCACACTTAGCAACAACGCCCCGCCGGCCAAAAGCCGACGATGCTTGGAGGGGACTCGGTCGTTGATCCAACCGACCAGCGGGCCCAGAAGGCTGGGCACGAGGAACGGGATGAAGATCAACCCCTGCGCGGTCTGCGCCCATGCGTAGGCGTCCTGGACGAACAGCGGTAAGGCGCTGTCGAACGCGGAAATTACGATCGAGATCACGAGACACGTCCAGAGGACGACCAGAATCCGAGGCGATGAGAACAGTCTCCAGAGGCCCTGGAGACCGGTATGCGACTGCAGCGCTGGAGGTGCAGCAGGTTCGGACTCATCCTCGGGTTGTTCGGCCGGTTCCCGCGCAGGGTCGGCCAGGGAAGGTCCCCGGCCCGAACCACCACGAACGGGCTCGGGGGCATGTGTCCTCTCAATGATCAGCAGCCGCAGGCCCAGATCGAGGCTGATCAGGACAAACGCCACGATGAAGACCGAGTAGTACCCGGCATGCTCATAGACCGCACCGCCGATGAGCGGGCCGATGAGGTTCCCGATGGTCATCCCCATGCTCATATACCCCATGGCGTGGCCCAGCTGCTCCTCGGCAACCGTATCCACCAGCAATGCGCACGCGACGGTCCAGACGATGGCGGCGGCGGCCCCCTGGAGGAGACGACCTGCGATCCAAAAGCCAATGCGGTTCCCCGCGCAGAGCAGCGCCGTCCCCGCGCCGAGGGTCAGCACTCCGGCCACCATGGGCCACCACCGCGACTGGATACGATCGGAGACGTAGCCGCTGAGGGCTGGACGTGTGGAGGGGGGTTCAGCGTTAGCCTCGGAGGTGGGATTCTCTTAAGTTCGTGAACGTACTCACGTGCAACCGAGAATTGAGCGGCGCCGTAGAGCGCGATCAGGATCGAGGTCCATGTTTGCTCTGTGCTTGTGGGACGGGAGATTAGCGACACGACGGAGAAGGCAGCTCGCGAGAGAATCATCGTTTACCGTCATTTCTGGATACCCCGAGTCGGTCATTGAGCGCAGTAGGAACCACAGGGACAATCTGATGCGGCTTTAGCTATGGGACTGATTGAGCGGGCTCGGCTGGATTGGGAATTCCGAACAAGCATACCAGTCCGTATAAGAAGCTATCCTTGAGGTTCGTCAGTAACAGTACAAAGGGAGGGGGGGGGGGGCGGCATACGTACGGTAAAGACGGCGTAAGACGCCACGAACGTGATGAACGAGACAGAGGATCTCAAGTTGAAGAGTACAGAACGTCTTTGCCTTGGAACACAGTCGAGCTGCGAGTGACTCACAGTCGTGCTGGCCATGGAAGTGGGCAGCCAGTTATTACAGTTGACATCAAGCCGGCAACATCACAGGAAGCCAGGGAAGTTTGCCCTACTTTAGTTAACTATCAATCGCCAGCATATGGAGCATATGGATGGCTGGGACGTCGCCTCAACTCCGAATGGTCTGAACAACAGAGATCACTAGAATATGCGGAAGATGCGGAATATGCGCCCATCCCTTGCTTTATTGAAATGAGCAATTTCCAGACTATTACTCCCGCAGGCATGCAATGCCATGCACCGTGCTGATCGCTCTCCTCCCCCGGCACGAACCCTAATCTGAATCGGTAGTACAATTTCCCAACTGCAGACCTCCAATTTATTGCCTGTTAACCCCCTTTGCACCACTGTCCCCATTCAGCCCTGGTGATACTCGGCTGCCACCCGTTTCGTCAGCCACTCATAGGAGGTCACCGGCTTCTCCTGGTCCCAGTCAGCCATACTGGGCCTCCATTTCCCCGGCACATCACAGCCCGGCAAGGTCTCGATCATGACCTCGGGGTCCACCGCCCCGGTATAGGCAATCGAGTAGCGATCGAAGACCAGCTTGCCCGCATCCGAGCGTGCCGCCGCCGCCGCCGCCGCCGGCTCCCCGAGCCCCAGCGTCTCCTCGCGCGGCCCCACGACCTGATGCAAGGCGCTCTTCCACCGCCCATTCGACTGCCGCTCCAGCATATCGCCGACATTGACGACGATCGTGCCGGGCTTGGGCGCCACCGGCCGGAAGACGGCGCCGTCGTGCACCTCCAGCCCGCCCACGTGGTCCTGGAAGACGAGGGTCAGGCCGCCGTAGTCGGTGTGCGCGTTCAATCGACGCGGGGCTTGCCCCGCCGCCGTGGTGGCCGCGGCCGACTGCAGCACCATCTGCGGATAGTGGAGGAAGCTGATATGCCCGAACCGCTGGCTCTGCATGCGGCACAGCCTGTCGGGCTCGATGGCGAGGATGTCGCAGAGCGCGCGGCGCAGCGCGGCCTCGACCTCGTTGCACGCGGCCCAGAAGCGCGCGTAGAAGGCGCGGAACCCCGGCAAGACCGACTCCGGCAGCCACCGGTTCTTCGGGTCGGCCGGGTTGCCCACCTCCAGGGTCTCCTTGTGATCCGGCGACGCGCGGCGGTGGGCTTCCACGGCCGCCTCGTCGAAGACCAGCTGGCTGATGTGGCCGACGCCATACTCGGCGTAGCCGAGATGGTCCTCAAGGGCGTCGCTGGCGGGCCGCGGGATCAGGTTCTTGGTGGCGGCGTCGAGGGCGAAGAAGCGCTTGGAGTGGAGGCGGTTGGTCAGTTTTTTTGGGTTGGGTCTTGCTTTCAGGCAGAGCAGAAAAAAAAAAAAAAAAAGGGGGCCAACTTATCCATTCCAGGGCGTGGTCGTAGACCTCCGCCGGCATGCCGTGGTTGGCCAGGTAGATGAAGCCGTAGGTTTGCAGGGCGTGGTCGAGCTGGCGGAGCGCTTCGCCTCGTTCGGCGGCGGACCCGTGGAGCTTGGAGCAGTCCAGCGTGATCATGTCCGCCGCCTCGTTGCTGGATGCTGAGGCTGCGAGCTGCGGGTCATGGTGGGAGGATCCGATAGAGCCCATGGTGATGATTTGGGGGGGGGGTGAGGGGTGAAGAACCAGAGATCGGTTTCCAAGTTCTCGCTTGTCGTGCGTAAGACTTGTGGAGGTTTGTATCCGGTGTGTGTTGGAGCTTTATATATGATTATACCTATACCACAGGCAACGAGCGGACAAGGATAGTATTTCCGTGGAGAGACCACGACAGCTTTCACGACTAGGGCATAATCGGACGAATTTGTCTCTCTAGGGCAATGCTGCCGCATAATGCGGATTACTTACATGCAAGGCACGCACTACACCGCTATTCAATCGGGGGAGATGGCGTTGCAGGCTGAGCTATATTTCCTGCATTTCTTGTCGATCAGCAGGATCTTTGAGACACATCAGTCTGTGCATGCACGAATCCGTTAGTTCGGCAGTCAACTTTGCTTGGACCATTGCCTCAAAGCGATCACGGTCTACCACCGGTACTCTTTCTCTCGTGCACTGGCCTATTTCTGAGGCGTGCCCTTTCGGAAATCTGAGGTCACCTTTCGATCCTAGCATCGACCTGGTTGGACTCCTCTGCCAAGAGGCAATTGCCACTCGAACCAATCTGCACGGACTTGGAGATCGGCTCAGCCGAACCTTTGCCGGTTTGGTAAAGCGGGGTCACTGCAGGATACTTTCTTTGATCTCGAAAAGAATGCGAGGCGGTCTCTCAGGGCTGGAGGGCGCCATGTGACAGTCGGCTTGGGAGGATTTGATCCGGGACGTCGACCCAGCACGGGATACTGTCACGCATATATAAGTACTCGCCATTGGATCAATATCGTATTGCTGCAGGCCTGCTATACATCCCCAAGTGATTCTCCCGCAGTCTGGACCACCCCAGCAGAATGGCCAATCCAAGTTTAGGAGGCAAGTTCATGGAGTTCGAAGGCGTGAGGTTTCCGCCGTTGCCGTCGGACTCCTACAGCCCTTCGCTCGATGGTCAAGTCACGAAGAGGATCCCCCATGATATCCCTCAGGATGAGCTACCCACCCGTCTATGTCTGAGTTGGGCTTTTGTGCTGTCTCTGTATACAACATCGCCGGATGTCCTGTTTGGGGTGCTCGATGACACACAGGGCCAGGGCAAGGGGGCGAATGCCATTGTTCCCTGCCACCTGGATCTGGACTCGGTCGACACCGTACGTGCTGGCTGTGCGATGGTCAACCAGTACTGGCAGATCAGTCGTCATTTTGAGCAGATGGGGCTGGACAATCTGCGCACCAGCAGCGCCGAGGCCACCCGTCTCTGTGACTTCCGCAACGTCTTGGTGATGCGACCGACGGCTGGCCTCGACGAGCCGGGCAGTGCCAGAGTCTTCGAGTCATTGAGTTCCCGGTATCCACTGGTCCTGATATGCGGCCTGGATTGCGCAGGTGTGACGGCCCAGGTGCATTTTGACTCGACGGTCCTCTCTCCCGAGATGTTTGAGTCAGTCCTGCACGCACTCTCGCACACTCTGGCACAAGTCACGTCCAGCCTCGACATACCTTGGGCGGACATTCAAACCAGCAACCCTGAAGATCTCCGGAAAAGTCTCCATTGGAACAAGCAGAGCGGCACTGAAACCAGCCGCGACTGCGTGCATCATCGGATCGAACGTCATGCTACCGAACGGCCACTGGCTCCCGCGATCTGCGCGTGGGACGGAGACTTCTCATACGGCGAGCTTGACCAGAGCGCGTCTTACCTTGCCCATCAACTCTCCCATGCCGGGCTCACGTCAGAAGACCTCGTCTTTATTCTGTCGGAAAAGTCCAAGTGGACCCCCGTCGCAATCCATGCCGTCCTCAAGGCAGGAGGGGCTTTCTCGTTGATGGATCCCTCGCAACCGACTCACCGGCTCGTCACGCTCTGCGACCTCGCATGTCCGCATCTCATCCTGACCTCCCAGCAGCAGTACGCCAAGGCCCGTCTTCTCGGACCCAAGGTGATGATTATCCAGGAGATGAGCGCCGAACCCCCCGTCAAGGACCAAGTGGTGCCGCGGTTGTGGGAACGGATTAGGGTTGAGAGCCATCACATGCTCCATGTGGGCTTCACCTCCGGGTCGACAGGCACCCCCAAGGGCGTCGTCACCGACCATGCCGGCTTTACCAGCGGGGAGTCCGTCTCAGGGCTTGACAGCTCGTCCCGCGTACTGCAGTCGACATCGTACACCTTCAGTGCTTGCATGTGGGAACACCTGGTGGCCTTGACCTACGGCGCCTGTCTGTGCATTCCGTCCGAGGACGAGCTACAGAATGACATCGAAGGGGCCATTCACCGTCTCGGCGTCACCTGGGCGATGATCACTCCGTCCGTGGCGCGGGTAGTCGAGCCCACTAAGGTGCCCAGCATTCAGACCATGTTCCTGGTGGGTGAAGCGATCGGCCGGCTAGAGGTTGGGAAGTGGGCGCATCAGGTCGCCCTTCACTCCATGTATGCGCAGTCCGAGTGCGGGAGCCCGATTATGACGAAGCGGATCTTCGAGCCCCGGGACCTGTCCACACTGGGATCCCCTGGCGCGGCGATCGGGTGGATTGTCGACCCCCAGGACCACAATCGGTTGATGCCGCTGGGCGCCGAGGGGGAGCTGGTGCTTCATGGGCCGTGTCTGGCCCGGGGCTATCTCCACAACCCCGAGCAGATGCACGCCACCTTCATCACGTCCCCAGCCTGGACAGAACAAGTCGGATGGGCCTCGACCACGCGGTTCCTGAAGACGGGGGATCTCTTCTCGCGCAGCCCGGTGGACGGATCTTACCAGTTCCGCGGCCGCAAGGGCGGCAAGGTCAAGGTTCGGGGCCAGAGGATCGAACTGGCCGAGATCGAGTACCACCTGCGCGCCCAATTCCCGGAGGCCGTCCATGTCGTGGCAGAGCTCGTGCGCCCCCGCGATGCGGATTCGCAGTATGGCATGCTTGTGGCCGTCATCCCCGTTGCGTCTGCGCGGTCTGATGGCGGAGATGCTGCTGGCCAGTGCCGGCTCCTGCCCCCCGATGCAGCGTTCCTGGCTCACGCACGACGGGCTTTGGACCAGATGAGCGAGCGGCTGCCGTCTTACATGATCCCAAACTCCTTCATCCCGGTGGCCCGTCTGCCGCGCACTGCGTCCGGGAAGATGCACCGCCGACTCTTGGTCGAGGTCCTCTCCCAGCTCTCTCGAAAGGAGATCCTGGCGTACATGACAGTCTCCAAACCGTATCGCCCTCCGAGTACCGAGCGGGAAGCACTCTTGCAGTCGGTTGTGGTCAAGACCCTGTCCCTCGCCCCGGAGGAAGTTGGGATGGACGAGTCATTCCTCAGCTTGGGTGGTGACTCGCTATCCGCGCGGCAGCTCGTCACCCTGGCGCGTGGCGAGGGACTCGGCCTCACGGTGATCGACTGTCTCCAGCAGCCCAGTCTAAGCTGCCTCGTCGAATGCGCGAAGCCCAGCCACCCAGAGCCTGTCGACCAGACCCCAGCAACCGCGGAGGACGACCCCTTCAGCTCACTGCGCCACGACTTTCTCAACAATCTGCCCCCCCACCTCACCGCCGACATGATCGAAGACATTGCTCCGGTCCGCGAGACGCAGCTCTTTCTCGTGCAGTATCAGATCCTCGACTACCTCCAGATCCGGATGACTGGCCCGCTGGACCCCGTCCGACTGCGCCGGGCGTGCGAAGGGCTGGTGCAGAGCCACTCCATCCTGCGCACGATCTTCCTCCCCTTCCACACCGAGCACGTTCAGGTCGTCCTGCGAGCGGTCGAGGCCCCCTGGCGTGCCGTGAGCCCGGCCAGCGCCGGCCAAGATGCCGACCTCTGGGCGCACGCCGTGTGCGCCGAGGACCGCAGCACCCCGACGCCTCTCAGCGGGCCCTTCCTCAAGTTCATCCTTCTGCCCGATGCCTGCCTGCAGCAACACACCCTGATCATCCGCATCAGCCACGCGCAGTTCGACGGGCTGTGCCTGGACACGCTCCTGGGCGACCTCGCCGAGCTCTACGGCGGGCAAAACCACAGCCCGCTGACCATCCCGACCAGCTACGCCGACTTTGTGCGCAAATGCGCCACGCTGCGCACGCCGCCCGCCCTGCAATTCTGGCGGACCCTCCTCGCCGACTCGACCCCGACCGAACTCCCGCTCACCCCGTCCACCGCGGCCCCGCACCCGCCGGGAGAAACGTGCATCGTGGCCACGCAGGACATCCCCACGGCGCTGCCGCCGCCCGCCGGGACCACGTGGGCCACGGTCGTGAAAGCGGCGTGGTCGCAGGTCCTCCGCGAGCGCACGCGCCAGCCGGACGTCACCTTCTGTCAGATGGTCAACTGCCGGTTCGTGGACGTGGCGGCCCCCGAGCGCATCGTGGGCCCGTGCCTGAACCCGGTGCCCGTGCGCGTGCGCGCCCAGCCGGCCTGGACGGTGCGCGAGCTCCTGCGCGCCGTCCAGGACCAGCACGTCGCCTCGCTGGAGCACCAGACGCTCGAGTGGGGCGACCTCGTGGCCCACTGCACGGCGTGGCCGCGCGACACCGCGATCGACTCGATCGTGCTGCACGAGAATATCAACGCCAGCCCCGTCACCACGGTCAGCAACGACGCCGTCTGGCGGCTGAAGGCCCACAGCGTGGACAATCCGCCCGAGCGCACGATCTACCTCTACACGTATCCGCAGCCGGATTCGCTGTACGCGGTGCTGGTGCTGTCCAGTGCGGTGGGCAGTCAGGCCGAGGCGCAGCGCCTCGTGCAACGGTTCGCCGAGGTCGTAGGGTTGCTGGTGCATCGGCCGGGGGCGCTGCTCTCGGCCTTGTGAGGTTCGGGGTTAGGTGTTCGGATTGGTGTATGGCCCCTTGGGCCATTGTTTGTTTAGTTGAGGCCAACAGCTTTTGTTGCATTCACGATGGTAAATCCTCTCGTCTTTCCCCCCGGATCCGATCTACATACTGGATAGACCCATTTGGAGTAGGCCCTTCCTTGCTTGGCAATATGTGATAAACTTCATTCCAGTTGCGTTATTCACATCTTTCAACCCCCTCACTTGGGAAGATGAAAATACAAAGTATGGAATATAAAATATAAATAAATAAATTATAAAAGATTAGAGATACCGGGAAAGGCACTACTCCTAAATGGAACTAGTTGTATTGACTAGTTGTATTGACTAGTTGTATTGACTAGTTGTATTGACTAGTTGTATTGACTAGTTGGTTGTATTGACTGGCTGTATTGACTATCGACTATTGACGATTGACTATTGACTATTGACTAATATTACTCCAGCTCCTCCTCCTCCTCACAAGGCAACTCTTTCCGTCTTCCAGTCCAATCCAGCTCAGTGCACTGTCCTCCAACCCATTCACAGACCCCAATGTCCCCCACCACCAGACGTAGAACTCGTCTAGTCACCGGCTGGTAATTCCTCATCCTCGAACTCCTAACCCCTAACTCCTAACCCAAGGCGCAAACTTCATCTAGTCAGTCGATCAGCTAACCATTCGCATCGGCCAAACAGCCAACGATGCAGGGGTATGTTCATCTCCTAGGCTACTGGTTTCCCCTTCGAAGGTTGTTGACTATACTGAGCGCTACGACATTCCCATTGCAGCCCGGCACCTGAAGTGTGAGTCCATGCACGCCCAGGGAATCGCAGCTCTGATGCTTAACAATCCCCCAGGCGACACCAATCTACCCTCCTGTGCACACTGTCAACGCGCCGGCATCGGCTGCAACCGAGGCTGCAACGTCCGCTTTCGAAGAGGTCTACTTCTTCCCACGGACACGGCAACTGCTTTTCCCGGGCGGGATCTGTGGCCGTGCGTGGTGGGTCCTGGTAAAAGTTTCTCCTCCTGGGCACAGAAGATCTTGTTCTCACGATCATTGATAGTCGAGTTCCGGGATGAGACTGAGGCCATCCAGCAACTCTACGAGGTGGTTCCATCACCACAGCTCTTGGACGAGGATTGTCGGTTCGGGGGGTCGCGGGTTCATCCATCATCTAGTCCGTTCATAGACGATCCGAGCTCAAGCCATCCCGCTTGGCCGACGCACAGTGGCCACCGATCAGTCGGTGTGAGCGCCGGACAGAGCAGTCACGATAGTGGTCCGGTGGGCGCGAGAGCGCGGGGTCCTGTACGCACCATTATCGGTCACCCAGGAGACCTGAGCACCGACAGTCCGCCAAGCAGCCAGCAGTCAAAGACGCATCATCCGTGCTTCAGCGCCAGGGAAGCGACCTTGATGCGTAACTTTATCGAGAACATGGCGTTATGGGTGAGTGCTGCGAGCTATGCAGGCTTTGTCTAGCAGATTGCTGATGCTCCGCGGCTCATGCACAGGCTGATATCACCGATCCTGACCGGCAGTTTGAGACCAATGTGCCGGTGAAGGCGGTCCAGGAGCCGGCTTTGCGCTCTGCAATCTTCGCCTTCTCCTCGCGACACATTGACAGACAGCGCAAAGTGGATGCGTCCGAGGCTCTGCAGTACCATAACCACTGCCTACAACTTCTGATTCCGGCCCTGTCGGGCTCGAGAGCAGACATAACAGATGTCGTTCTTGCCACTGTTGCGGTTCTGCGACAGCATGAAGAAATGGAGCGTATGCTAAACAGACCAGTGACGTCTTGCTCTCGGGTGGCTGACAGTTTCCAGCTGACGACAATCAATTCCATCTGACCGGTACAGCGCGCATACTGAACACAATATCCTCATTCGGCTCGTCGGGAGGGTTGGGTGAGGCAGCGGCCTGGCTTTGTCTACGTGAAGATATATACATCGCGCTAATTTCGCAGAAGCCGCTGCGGACGAATCTCCAGAGCTTCCACAGGTCCAATGTCTGGGTGAGGGATGACGACTTTGCATGGGCAAGTCGGATGGTCTTTCTGCTGGCTAAAGTCCTAAGTTGCGCGTTCAGTCCCTGTGGTCATGAGTCCTCTCTGGATCTAAGCGGGCTGCAGAGACTGGCACAAGAAGTGGAAGCCTGGAACGGTTCGAAGCCTACTTCTTTCGACGCGATACGCTCTGTACCACGGGGGGCGGATTTAGAGCAGCGATTTCCTGAGATATGGATGTTGCTGCCGGTCCACGGTGAGGGTCAAAGGACCGTATGCCTGCGATATCAGCTAACTCAGTCGACACTTTATAGTTGTTGGGGCACAGTACTACCATATCGCAAAGATCGTTCTGGCAGTCACCACTTGCCCTAGTCCGACGCTCGTTTCCCAAAATTTCCAAGTATCCAGACATATCGAGGTGGGTTGATTCTCGACAAGACCTAAGATCTGCCTTCATAGTTCCGTGCTCACGAGGCAAGAGCAGAAAGTAGTCAGACACCACCTCTTCATGGTCCTGGGTTTGGCCAAGTCTAACCCCAAAGCTGAAAATACGCTTTTCACCGCGCGTCATAGTCTTGTAGCATGTGAGTACTCCAGCAAACTGTTTAGGAGACCGTTAATGGGACCAATGACTTACCTTTACAGGGGGCTGGGTCATTCGGCGTAGAGAGGATCAAGAAGCTTCCGAGGCTCTTTTACGTGAAATGGAGACCAGGACTGGCTGGGATGTCACACGGACGATTCAGGCTTTACGGGAGCAATGGGCCGACGATGATTCTGACTGCTGACACCAGACTTCGGTTTGCGGGCATGATACACCATTTGTTTCACCGAAGGAAGTCTGAGGTCAGAGCGTGCTTCCCCTGCGCGGGAAAAAGGCGGTCACGTCACGGGGATGGGGAATCTCAATATATGGAGATCAACATGGCAGATTCGGGATCGTTTCAACCCGATCAGAGGGTTCTTCCTACTCCCATTCGCTCCGAGCTTATGCAAAGTCAGGTTAGCTGCCGATTACGAGAGCCAGCCCGAAAGCTTATTGAGCCGCGGTGCCTACAGGAGGTTTTGCCATGACATCTCGCTGATTGGGGAGCAAATGCTCCGTCAGGACCAATATCCGCGACATTGGCCGAAATTCTCCTGCCGATAGCTCATATCATCGCCCCCGTGAGGAGAATTCGGGTCCATCTTGCGAATCCTTGGTTTTGATCTCCTGTGTGTTGATCAAGACAAGAGAATTGGCTCTTATGCAAGATGGCATTCCGTTTGTTGATTTCAGGGTCCTGTTCTAGCGGTGAACGGTCCCTTGACAGCAACCCCCGATGAAATCACCTTATAATAATAGAACAGAATGCGCTAACATCCTTGCAGGCTTCTGAAGCCTGTAATGAGTTGTAATGATCTGCAAGACGCAAAGGATCGATCGACGGCGTTGATCGACTCTGATAGGGTTGGAGCAAGCAGAGGATTGGACCCTGCTTTCCATCATCCATCTCAGGCTCACAAACCGGCTGGCCAGAGCAATGACGTCTCATCCACGTGGTACCATAAATGAGTGCACCTTTATACCTGAAACATTACCCTGCCAGGTCTCTCACACCTTCCACAGCATTTCGGATCGCGTCCGTCTTGACAACATTTACCTGCATTGACATTGTCGAGCAGCAGCCCGCAGTGGAAACAAAGCAAAGTCTTGTTCAAGATAAGACATCTCACTTGCTCAGCATAACAGCTGCTCACCGTGTTTCCTTGATTCAGCGACCGAGGTAAACTTACTTTCTTCGTCTTGCTCGTGAGACCAAGCCGGACTTCCTTAATTCTTTTGACGGCCCGATGCCGTTCTTCAGCACACAAAAACGACGACCCTTCATAACCCCATCGCTGCCTGATCACCAGGACAGCAAGCCTTCACGGACAGGCAGCCACTCGATCCGTGCACTTTTCACCGGCAAGAAGACCAGGCCTGCAGCCCATTCTAGTCCCACCACTCCACCGCTACCCAACGGCAGCGAAACCGGTATAGGACCGAACACCACCGCCCCTCAGAACACTCAGGGAACATTCTCAATCTCATTCCACCCCAAGACCCAAACCACACTCTGCTGGCAGAACATCGATCCCCCGCATGATCTACTGGTTTCTCTCGACGAGAAAGCCCTGGAACAGCAATTCCTGTTAAACCGACCCCGAGCCACCGAGATGATCGACACCAGCAGAACCACGTCCCCAAAGTACACGTCCCCGAAGGGAGTGGCCGCCTCCCTCCTCCCGGGCTACAACGACGTCAGCGGCTCCGTCATCGTCGACTGGGACGGGTATCCGCATTTCCTTTCCCCGCAGGAGGAAGTCGATCGCAAACTGCAGCTGGAGGCAGCGGTGCAGGAGCGGATGTTGGGGTTGCCGAGGCGGACGGAGTTCGCCTGGGAGCGGCCCGGTGCCCACCAGCAGGAGGGTCATTATGCTCCGCCGAGGTATACGCCGGCGAGCTCGAAGTCCGGATCGCGGTCCTCGCATTCGAGTACGAGTAGTGGCGGGTCATCCGGTCGGAGATGATGGGACTGGTTTCTTGGGGGCTCGGGATAAGCAGGACAGCGACTCCAGGACGACTTCGACGTGCATTTCCACGGATTCGTGATCGTGGATCCGTTGATGATGAGCGAGCGGGGATGGAAGGCACTTCTCGACTCGGTTTGCCGTGCCCTGGGAGCTGAGCCTCGAACGCAGATTTATGATTGATGAACTTACGACTGCGTGGGACGAGATATGCACGATGGATGGATGGGGGAGAATAAGAGGAGCAAGAAAAATGATGATGACGATGATGATGTCGGTGATGATGACGACAATGATAATGATAATGTTAGGCCGGATTGATGGCGAAACGGGAGGCTTTTGTTGATTTCCAATCCAATGCGATATGATACATACAGTACATCCTTTTTGAATGAAACCTCTGAATGGAAAAAAATCGAGTATCTATGCTATGCCACCAGCAACGAAAGCCTAGTTCCGGAAGAGTCTCAACCCACCCTCCTCACGATCGACATCACTATCCTCACCCGCAGCTGCATCCACATCTTCATCTTCATCCTCCTCCCGTAGCATACCGCTGGCCGTGTTGCCCAGCAACGAAGCGAAGAACTCCTCCCGGGCGTGGCGGGTCCACGCGCCGCGGTCCTCCGGCGCCATGAAGTTCTGCAGCTTCTCGTGGATCTCAAACTTCATCTTGCGGCCCTTGGAGGCGCGGGTGTCCACGTCGCGTTTGACCTTGTCCTTGCGCATCCCGGTGACCGGGTGCACGGCCGACAGCCGCGAGGGCAGCTGGAGGTGCAGGGTATCGAGGCCGTTGGTGATGGCGTCCGAGGAGGACATGCGCTGCTCGACCAGCTCGCGCAGCAGGGTCTGGTAGAAGACGGTGTCGTCGTAGAGGGGCTCCGCGGGCTCGTCGGGCTGCTCCGCCGCCGCTTTGGTCGTGGTCGTCGACTTGGTGTCTTTGGTCGTCGTAGTAGTAGCAGTGCGGGCGCGCTTCACGGCACGGAGCCCGGCGGCCGTCTCGGTGGCGACCTGCGCGTCCAGCACGGTGGAGATCGTCTGCGAGGCGGTCGAGGCAGACAGCAGCTTGCCGCGCGCGTTGGCGGTGGTCGCGGCGGTCGCCCCGCGGACCTTCTGGGACCACTTGTCGAGCACCGCGCGCCGGTGCGCCAGCGACTCGGCCTCGAGGGCCGTCATGCGCTTCCACAGCGAAGCGGACGAGGTGGCCGGCGTGACGGGCGCCGGGCGCTTGCGCTTCTTGCTGTCATCACCCCCCTGCTGCTGCTTGTGGTGCGCGTCCGCCAGCGCGAGGCGGAGATCCTCGAGGGTGGACCACAGCGCCAGGGCGGCGGATTCGGCGGATTTGATGGCTTCGCCGTCCAGAGGTTCGGGGACTGCGTCGGCGTCGGGAGTACTCTTCTCGTCGGTGGTGGATGAGTGTTGCTGGGCGGCCGCGAGGGAGAGCTGGTTGATGGCGGTGAGGCCCTTCTGGAGCTTGATGCGGGTGTTGAGGAGGGCGTCGAAGGTGGCGCGCTGCTGCTTCACGGCTTTGCCCTTGGCGGCGTCGGCTTTGGCGGCCTGCGAGATGGTCGCGGCGATGGTCTTTTGGTCCGAGGCCATTAGTTTGCGCAGTTCCTCGCGATCGTCGGTTTTGCCGGTGCGGCGGGGTTCGTCGTCAGAGGCGTCGGAATCGTCATCCTCATCCTCGTCCTCGTCGTCCTCATCGGATGGGAAATCATCCTCCCCTTCGTCATCGTCATCCTCGTCCTCAAAACCGTCCATCTCATCCGACCCATCGGTATCCATGTCGTCGAAGCTGACCTCCTTCTTGGCCTTCTTCCCGGCACCCTTGGCCGGTCGGGCAGTCTCCTCCTCGCTTTCTTCGTCGTCGGAGATATCCTCATCGTCCTCGTCCTCGTCGCTGCCTAGCTCCTCATCGTCATCCTCCTCGTCTTCCTCATCGCTGGACCGGGCCGCGAACGGGTCGTCCTCGCTCTCGGCTTCGAGCGCCTGTCTGCTAACTTTCGAGCCGGCGTACTGCTTCCCTAAGGCGACCGGATCCTGTTTGCGAAGCTTTCCCTTGCTGAGATAAGTCAGCGTCACCCTCGTACAATCCAGCCATCACAACAGACGACTATCCAAGATAATCCAGGGTAAACACTCCGGGGAGAAAAGAACCTACCCAACAGCCTGATAATGCTCTCGTCCCGCGTCAGCATCCACGGCCTTTCCTCCCTCCTCATCACTCGATTGAACACCGCGATCGAGATCCTCGGGGTCGAAATCTGCAATTGGGCGCAAAGACAAGTCAGTCAGACCCAGGGACAGAAAACTCAACCCCAGAAAAAGCAAGGGAAATAAAAACAAACCTCTAGGAGTAGGATCCTCCAGCTCAGCGAGCTGTTGCGCCAGCGACTTGGGAGCCATAACGTACAGGGACAGGGTACAGCAAAACAACGGCCAAAAAGGTTCGTAGTGGCTTGCTGTTTCCGCGCCAACTTTTTTTTTTTTTTTCTGGGAGGAAGTTCTGCCCGCAAAATTTCGGGATGCGGTCACGGGAGAACTAACTCCTTCAAGCCAGAAAGCAGCTATGGAAGGCAGGTTTGACCGGCGGTGAAGGATTGAAAATCGGGCAGTATCCTTGATCTTCCGTCTTGCGTCAAGAATGTTGGATTCTCACCGCCGACCACCCACCCCATCTCGCATCGCTAGACTTCCACAGGCATCATGTTGGGGAAGAGGTTCTTCTCGACCGTTCGGGTGCTGCAGCATGATAACCCTTTGGTATAGTTTTTCTTTCCATTATCTCTCGGGATAGGGTTCGGTTCTCGTCTAACGTAGTGGTGGGAAATGGTAGGGCCTCCCACGCTCGGGCACTCCGCCCTCCCTCCGCAGCCGCCGCGGGCTGCCCGAGAAGCGCAAGATCCGGGACGTGAAGAAGGTGATTGCCGTTTCGTCCGCGAAGGGGGGTGTAGGGAAGTCTACGATCGCCGGTACCTCTTCCTCCATACGCACCCAAGAACACAGACGACGAGACGCAAGCAACTGATGTGAGATGGAACAACAAGTGAACCTCGCGCTGGCGTTCGCGCGGCGCGGCATCCGCACGGGAATCCTGGATACCGATATCTTCGGGCCTTCGATCCCGACGCTGTTGAATCTGAGCGGGGAGCCCAGGCTGGATGAGAGTGTGTCTCCCTTCCCCTCCTTTCAATAAAAACGGCCAAGATCCCTAAATCCAACCCCACTAACCGCAACCGCTATACAAAAATAGACAACTGCCTCCTCCCGCTGACGAACTACGGCCTCAAATCCATGTCGATGGGCTACCTCCTCCCGCAAACGCAACAGCAACAGACCCCTTCGTCGACAGCAGACCCCGTCCCCATGGACAGCACCCCGATCTCCTGGCGGGGCCTGATGGTCACGAAGGCGATGCACCAGCTGCTGCACAGCGTCGCGTGGGGCCCGCTGGACGTGCTCTTCCTGGACCTGCCGCCGGGCACGGGCGACGTGCAGCTGACCATCAACCAGGAGGTTGTGCTGGACGGGGCGGTGGTCGTGACGACGCCGCAGGACATCGCGCTGCGCGACGCCGTCCGCGGCATCGGCATGTTCCAGCGCATGGACGTGCCCGTGCTGGGCATGGTGCGCAACATGGCCTTCTTCCGCTGCCCGAGCTGCGGCACCAGCACCGAGATCTTCGGCCACGGCCACGACCACCTGCGCGGCCGTGAGGACGACTGGGGGGTGCGGGCCGAGTGCCGCCGGCTCGGCGTCGAGTTCCTCGGCGACGTGCCCCTCGACGGGACCGTGTGCAAGGATGCCGATCGCGGGGTGCCGACCGTCGTCGCGGAGGAGGGGAACCCCGACAGTGGGCGGCGGGCGGCGTTCTTGGGGATCGCGGAGGAGGTGGCGCGGAAGGTGGGGGTGCAGTGGTGAGGATTTTACTGTTTTTTTTGGGGGAAAGGTAAGGGGAAAGGAGGAAAAAGGGGGGTTGTGTATTATATGGTCTCTTTTGGTTCAAGTGTGTACATATACCCTGGCAATTGAGTATGATTCTTCGAATCGTTTGAGTTGATTGGTAGTAATGCTGGATATAGATGGAATTGGCTGCGTCTTGAACAAAAAACCAATACTAAAGTGCGACTATGTAAAGCTGGGTATAACAACCAACAGACCTCCCAAGGAACCAAAGAAAATGAACACTGGTCATGCCTATATACATCTTGTGAAGGGGAGACATCACCTGTACAATACAATGGCATCGACCCTCAGTGCGCAACGTACTCCTCCGCCGTCTTGAAATACTCTCGGTCAGGCAAGCCAGGCCGCGGCGTCGACTCTGCCTCGTGACCATCAGGACCCAGGCCCGGGGTACCGACCTCACCATCCCCAAGCTCACTTGGCAGAGCCTCGAACGAGCGATACGCAGATTCGTTATCGCTAGCCATGCCCAGCACTCCCTTGGCATTGAGCACAGCACGGGTACTCGCTGCATCGAGTCCGTTCGTCGTGGTCACGGCCAGAGACTTCTCGTCGCCGATTGTGCTCGTATCCTCCGGCGGCTCGGTCGTGAGCCCACTGCGGATGGTGCCCGACCCGGCATTGGACGAGGCCCGGTGTCGCAGTCGTGAAGCCCAGTGAGAGTCGCCTGTGTTCGGAATAGCGCCCGCTTCATGGAAGAGCGCGCGGGTGCTGGCGTTCTCTTCTTCGAAGTTCTTTCCCTCATACCCCGGCAGGACGAGCATGGGAGTGAAGCTCTCAAGCGAAGGGGCTTTGGTGTGTGAGTTCGCTGATTGATCGCGCGTATCATCATCTACCTCGGATGGGACCTTTGTTCCCGACGAGCCACCCCCATTGCTCAAGCCATTCGACTGGGGTTTGTTGGAGAAGTCCTGCACGGAGGCGCCAGTCACGGCGGCGGCGCGCTGGGTGGCGGACGCGTTCTCGTCCGTCTGTTGCGCAGCCTCTGCCTTCATCGACGCTCCCGCTTGGCCGGCATCGACGCTCGTCCGTGTGGACCGGTCGCCCTTCAACTGTTCTTTGACGACGGTGCGCTCGTCATGCTTGCTGGCCATCTTACTCCACATAGTCATTGGGTAGCTCTTGCCGCCAGTCCTGGATGGCAACACGCGCGGGACGGTGCGCCGGGCAGCAAGGGAGCTCGGCGGTGGCAGCTCGCCTTGGAAATTCTGGAGTCCATACGCCAGCTCCTTCATGCGCTGTCGTTGAACACGGAGCTTCTCCTTAGCGAATCTGGTATCCCATTCCTTCTTCGCAGACAGCCACTTGCGCACGAGCACAGGGTTGAATACTCCCACTTTGGATGGGGGGATTTGGAGCACGGAGCACGCCGATGGGGGATCCAAAGGGTATACGTTGCCCTTCTTATCCACTCGCTGCCGGATCATGCGGTCCTTGAACGCGGGTAAGGGGTCCCCGGCCTTGCCAATGCAGTCGACAGGGGTGTGAGAATTCTCCGATTCTCTCTTTGTTGGGTCCTCGCTGCTATCAGTGTCGCTGGATACACCGTGGTCGTCAACAATCTCGACCTCGGTGTCTTGCGCGCATGCAAGAGCCCAGGCGCCAAATTGCGCAATCGCCCGATACATGTATTTTGCCGGATGGGTGAAGCTGAGAGTCGGCGCCACATGACATAGGTCGTCCCAGACCTGGAGTTGAACGTAGGTTCCCTGATACTTGTGAAGGGTTTCCCTGTTGGGGTCATGCTCGTCGAGAAAAGCATCGCCAGGCGGGTACGCGGCCGGGTTGGCCGCCTTGTGGGCCACGTAGAATTGCTCATCCCTCAGCATCTCGCCGCCTCCACTCTGAATCAGCAGTGGAGGCAGTCCTCCGAGAGAAGACTGGAAGATAGGGGACACGAGTGGGTGGGTCAGAAAGTCGTTGGTCGCATACATGTGAATCTGGTCCTTGATCTCGACCGTTTCTCCGTCAATCGGGATACTGATCTTCTCGTTATGAATCTCGGTGGACTGGCGATCCGAGTTCGTGCGCTCGGCTTCGGAAGAGCTGCTCTTGTGCATCGAGTAGCCCCTTTCCGCCGTCTCTTCGTCCCGACTACTTTGCTCGGGGACAGCATGGCTGGGCTTAGCCGGGTTCACCTTGAGTGCTTTCTTTAGAGAAGCAAGCTCATCTGCGTTAGGGGGCGGCCACGCCGGAGACGGCTTGTGCATGAAGCCGTACGGAGGAATATAGTCTCCGGGGTTGTCTTTGACGATGCTAGGGAATGAATGGGTCAAGTCCACCCAGGGTGAAATCAAGATAGCCCCCGCCGGCAGAGGAAGCCCTTGGTCGCGTAGGAGAACCAGCATACTTCGGCCGTTAGCTGCAGCTTGCAGGATTGACCGGACCTCAAACTTACGAGAGAACCAGACCTCCTCCGGCAGAGTCACCGGCGAAGAGGATTTCCTCGGGCTTATGCTCTTTTAACAAGAACAGGTAGGCTGCCAGTGAATCCTGCATTCCACAAGGAAAGGGGAATTGCGGCGCCAGGCGATATTTAGCTAGACAGGGAATCAGCTTGATTCGGGGGTGGACACTGGGACCTATCATCAGGTCGAAGACTCACTTGAACACGGTCAGTAAGAGATGCTTCGATTCAAGGAGGACATAAAAGGCTTACCGTGCAAAGACCCTCCCCTTCAACTTCCGCGCATGGCGCTGCATCTGATACCGATGTGTATCCAAGCTGCCAAAAAAGTACGCCCCGCCATGGATGTACAGCATGATGCGCTTCTGGCTGGGGTGGTCGCGATCTGTGCGCTTCCGCTCGTTGTAGTCCTCCTTCATCTCGATCCATTCCGCCTTCAAGTCCTCCGCGGGGCCGCGCCACTGCCACCACTCTTTGCCGCCGACGCGGGCGACGCCCTTCGAGCCGAGCTGCTTGTTGATCGCATCAGCTGCGCCGAGTAGACAGTCCTCCGGCACGGTCACGGTTTCGAGCTTCACCCAATGCGGCGCGGGCACCCGCTGGCAGGTGAAGGTTTGGAGGTCTTCTAGACTATGCTTGGAGGCGTAGATGAGGAACTCGCGTAAAATGCGGATGCTTTCATCGTAGGAGATGTGGACGTTTGGTTTGTGGTGGAGAGATTTGCGGTGGAGGTACTGATGGCAGGAGAAACGGGTGTCAGTTTGTCAGTTCGGGGAAGGAAGGAATCGACGAAAGGTGAAACGCGATGGAGCCATTGTTGGCAGCGGATGGGAAGGATGAATGACCCACATGAGAGATCAGGGTCTGGAGGACGGTCGGAGTGAGGGCCAGACTCAATGCGAAGGTATTCAGGGGCATGGTTCTGATGCGCTAGATGAGGAAGGAACAAGCCTCACAGAAGGTCATGAAGCCTTGAAGAACTGAGAGGAAGTGGGCGAGGTATAAAAGGGCAGGGTCGGATGGAGGAAGACTTCAGGAGGAGAGGGGGTGGCAGCGCAAATAAACTAAAGGGAGGGAGGGAGGGATAGGAAGCAGCGGAAACACAGGGAGACGAACACGGAGTGGGCCAGGAACCGATCGATACAATCTTAAGGGATCAGTCGACCAATGTCTGGGAGGAGAGACAAGGGCTGGACCCTTTTGGGAGTAAATGAATGGCTGTGCTGCGAGGAACAACAACGCAGTGCATCATCATCATCATAATAATCATCACTGATCCATTGATAGTCTGGTGGTGCATCCCCTTTGATTGATGGATTCCTCAGGCCCAGCCGAGGTCGGACTCAATGATGTCATCACCGACCAACGTCCCACTAGTCCCTTTGCGGAAGCTGCGTTGGCTCGGGCGCTCGATGGCAGTCGTTGAAACGCTCGTTCAGGCAAGAGTCGGTCGCATGGAAACAGTCCGGCATCATGGATGTGTAGTATCCAAAGTTGCTGGAGGCAATTTGCGACCGAGGGTGGTCTGTTCGTTGGAGAGGTGCAGAGGTGCAGAGGGGAAAGAGGAAAGATGATCTGTATGACGCCGACACGAGTGGTGCGCTCCAGTAGCTTCTCCATTGGCCCACTTTTGCAGCCAAGCTTCTGATAAGGACCCCATTGCTGTGTCGGACGAATAGCTTGAGGCTTAGCCGGTGACCGCTATAGCTTCAGCTGGGCTCCAGCTGGGTCTCGACTGCTGGGACTGCTGGGTGGCTTGAGGCTGGGTTCTGTGTTGTCATACTTCGAGGGTCTGACAGCAGGAGGCTGTTGAACAGACAATTATTAGCAAACAGCTGGACTCAAATCATCCTCACCGCCAGCCGATTTGGCTCAAACGCTAGAATCACCTGACCTTTTTTTTTTGAGCAGTGCCAGTGTCTGTGACCAGATGTCAGCTTCATATTACAAGCATGAAACAGCTTCAATTGTGCGGGAAAATGGATTTACAGAGAGATCCATGCCAGTACAAACATCTCAGTCTAGAATAGCCGCCATGACGTCTCCATTAGCGGAATCTCCTCTTAGCATGCTATCTTATCGCGACTCCGACCAGAAAATCCACCACCACCAAAAACATTCCTCTTCCAACCACTCTCTCTGCCACTTTCACGTCAACCTCCACCTTAATCCACATCATCAGCAGACACCTGTTCTACAAGCCTGTACACGCACCACCCACCCAAGATGACGACAGCAACAGCAACGACCCCCTACCCAACCACAATGAGAGCCTGGCTCTACAGCCACACCAGCCCGACCCTCGAAGCCAACCTCACCCTGGAGCCCTGCGCCCGCGCGCCTCCAGGGCCTCTCAAGCCGTCGCAAGTCCTCATCCGCGTGCTGACCGCCGCCCTGAATCCCGCCGACTACAAAGTCCCCGCGATGCCGCTCATCACGACGGCCCTGATCCGCAAACCCGCCAGCCCGGGCCTCGACTTCGCCGGGGAAGTCGTCGCCACCGCCGACAACCACAACAATAGCACATCATCGTTCAGACCCGGCCAAATCGTCTACGGCACCCTCGACCTGCCCACCCAATTCGGCTCGCTGGCCGAATACCTCATCGCCCGAGAAGAGAACCTCCACCCGATCCCCGCGGGGGTCGAGGTCGACCACGCCGCGACCGTCGGCGTGGCGGGCATGACGGCGTGGCAGTCGATCGCGCCGTTCATCGCCCCGGACACCGGGGCCAACGTCTTCATCAACGCCGGGTCCGGCGGGTGCGGGATCTACGCCATCCAGATCGCCAAGGCGCTGGGGTGCACCGTGACGACGACGTGCTCGACCAAGAACGTGCCGTTCTGCCGGGAGCTGGGCGCGGACGAGGTGCTGGACTACACCGCGGAGGATGTGGTGGCCGTGCTCAAAGCCAAGGGCCCCGTGTTCGACCACGTCGTCGATCACATCGGCCTCCCCGCCGAGATGTACAACGAGTGCCATGCCTTCCTCAAGCCGGGCAAGGTGTTCGCCCAGGTCGGCGCGACCCGGTTCCCGACCTTCGCGACGCGGCTGCTGCGCCCCGGCTTCTTGGGCGGCGGGAAGCGGAGGTACCTGCCGATCTTCTGGAAGCCCAGGAAGGCGGATCTGGTCACGGTGGGGGAGCTGATCCGGGATGGGAAGGTGAAGGTTGTGCTGGATAGTGTCTACGAGTTTGAGGAGGCGCCCAAGGCTTTCGAGAAGTTGCGCTCGGAGCGGGCGCGCGGGAAGGTGGTGGTGCATGTATCGAGTCGAGACTAGGAAATGAGATGGGATGGATGAATGCTTGAGAGGTACAGATTCGCCATGCAACGCTTTCGTGTTCTCTATGTACAGTTATGTTGATTATGATACCACGAGGGGTTCGACTCGAGCAGTCACGCCCCTCACAAATAAACAACCCCAAAAAACCCGATCATTTTTTCGGTTGCAAGAAGGTCATCGCCGCCACGGCCATGGCATCCACCGCCGTCTGCAGCGTAGGTTCAATAACCGGAGCGAAAAACGGCGAGTGGTTACTCGGCAGCTCGCGCACGACATCCCTCTTGACGGCATCGTCCCAGGTGTCGGCATCCACGCCGCCAAACGTCCACATCACATACGGCGCGCCCACGGCCGTGGCCAGCAGCGAGAAATCCTCACTCGCGGCCGCGGGCTCCGACTCGACGAGCCCGTCCTGGAAATAATCCCCAAAGGCACCCTTGAGCGTCTCGACCAGCTGCCCATCATTGATCGTCGCCGGGGTGGAATACGTCAGCTTCACCAGGGGTTTCTCCACGCAGCCGGCGGCCTCGCACTCGGCCTCGACGATCCGGCGGATCGACTCGACCACGCGCTTCCGGATGCCCGCATCATACGTGCGGACATTCAGCTTGAGGTCACAGTAATCCGGGATGATGTTGTGGGCGTGGCCGGCCTGGATACTGCCGCAGGTGACGACGGCCATCTCGCCGGGGGTGACCTCGCGGCTGACGATGCTCTGCAGCTTGGTGACGACGGCGGCGCCGGCGACGATGGGGTCGATGCAGGTATGGGGCGCGGAGCCGTGGCCGCCGCGGCCGTGGATGCGGACGTCGAAGGCGTCGGCGGCGGTGAGGAAGCGGCCGGCGCGGACGCTGACGGTGCCGGTGCGCATGCGCATGACGTGCTGGGCCAGCACGACCTCCGGGGCGGGGATCCGGTCGTACAGCCCGTCGTCGAGCATGGCGCGCGCCCCGTCCAGCTGCTCCTCGGCCGGCTGGAAGATGCACACCAGCGTGCCCGCCCAGTGGGCGCGGGCGGCGTGCAGGAGCGCCGCGCTGGCCATCAGGCTGGCTACGTGCGTGTCGTGCCCGCACGCGTGCATCACGGGCCGCGTCACCCCCTCCGCGTCCGTCGTCTTCTTCGTGCTGGCGTACGCCAGCCCCGTCCTCTCCTCCACGGGGAGCGCGTCCATGTCGGCCCGCACCAGCACCGTGGGGCCCGCCCCGTTGCGCAGCACCCCCGCCACCCCGTGCCCGCCGAGGTTCGTGTGCACCTCAAACCCCAGGCTCCGGAGGTGCTCCGCGGCCGTCGCGGCGGTTTCCTGCTCCTGGCCCGAGAGTTCGGGGTTCTGGTGGAGGTGGCGGTAGATCTCCTCGAAGGGCTTGAGGTCCGGGCGGTATTTCGCGATGATGTCCTTCATGGTGGATGGTGCTGATGCTGTTGCGAGGAGGGGTGTTAGAGGTGATGACAATGGTGGAGTGCAACGGATGAAAAGCGGGGAAACGGTGCAGTGGGTATGGTAGTATGTGGTGGGGGCTCACCTAGAATCTGCATTGTTGGCTGTTGCGGGGGGGGGGGGGGGGGAGGTAATCAATGCTACTTATATAGAGGGATTGGCTAGGGTGCAGCTGAGACAGCGAGTTGAACATGACAACATGCACATTCCAGGTGAGATTCGGATTGTCGAGGATCGGCAGTGCATGCGAACCAGCGTTCAGGACGATTGCCGAGTAGAAGCAAGCGGGGAAATGTTCGATAAGCCAGGCTGCTTACTCCCAACTCGTCGTCATGGCCGATAAGCTCCGGTGGATCGGCGGACGGCGGAGCTGGCCGCGAAACCCTGCCATTTCCAGCAACTCGGCAGTTTGGGGTCGATTGACTTCAGTGCTCGGCTATCTGCTTCTTGGCTGAGGGGGAACAAAGTACAGGCAAATAAGAACAGCGGGAGGAGAAGTGCTCGCTCTGTTTAATCTTTATCACAAAAATAAGATTGTTGGGGTGGAGGGAAACGAGTATGGCAAGCTAGATCCTATACCGAGACAGGAGGCTGGGTGGGGAAAAAAAAAAAGGAAATGCAACTGCTCACACTCGGACTCGAACCGAGGATCTCAGCATTACTAGTGCTGCGCTTTACCATCTAAGCCATGCGAGCTGATTGGTCAAGAAGAATGTCAATTGCAAAGATGAGCCTTTTAACACATAACCGGGTTGCACCGCAGCTGCTGTCGTCCGTCTACCCCGCACAAGTGTTGCAACAAGACTGGAGAGTTGATTCTCAGCCGCATCAAGTTCATGGTTGTGTTGCAGTCAAGCATCTGTCCCCGGCCTGGAAGGGAATATGCTGAAATGTTCTGGGTGGACAGAGAATGGAACCATTCATTACAATCATTCCGAGCCTTGAGGATGCAACAAGGAGCGGGCCTTTAGGGGCAAAGAAACGCTAACTGTTGTCCTCTTCGGTTATCCATAAATATTATGCTCCACGTGTTTGTCCGTTCTAGATTGCTGACAGTTAAGTAGAACATTTGCAGGTTGGTATTCTTGCAACATGCTGGTAACATAGCATCGGAGATTCAGAGGGAGTGGTCATAAGTCTAAAATCAATAAATAATGTCTGTCGTGCGACCCACGGTCTACAATACCCCTTGTCCGGCCGGAAGTACAGTACACCAATTCACCGCTTCAGACAAGACCCCTAAACCATTCACAGCATGACTCACCAGAGTGAGTAGATAGTCTCTATAGTGATATCTTCTTCAGAGTCGAAGCTAGCGCAACTAGTACCAATAGTAACTGTCCACACAGTGAATGATGCTGCTCAAGTGACTCGCCAACAAGTGAATATATCTCCTCAAGGCGCAGAAAGTGATTTGAGATACCATATTCTTATGGTTAGGATCCCCACCTTCTAGAACTCACCCTCACCTCCTCCACGAACCGAGATCCGTTCATCCTTCTGCCAACTCACAAATCTCTACCTCTAAACAAGCTCTTCTACCACACAAACCCCTCCACCACCGACGAAATAAACCTCAATCCACAGCCCACAGCAGAAATGAACCTCCGCAGCCTCGCCCTCTTCCCCCTCCTCGCTGCCCTCGTTCACGCAGCCGTCATGGACCCCGTCGACGACCTCGATGACCAGGCCCTGGATCCCGGAATCAACTACTGTAACCGGAACTGCGTCAACAACGACCGCTGCCGCAGCAGATGCGGCGTGTGTGTGAACCACAAATGCAAGGCCAAGGAGTAGTACGTCATTCATCGTTGTACAGATTAGAGCTCATGGTGATATATATACTGACAATCGACCGTTCATGTGCAGAACAGAAACTAAATTATCCTCCATGGTTTTCATCCCGTGTCTTTGCTGGGTGTCGAAGCCTCTGCCCCAGAGGGAGGCATGATCAAAGGGATTATCGAGATGACTAGGTGCATGGTGTTCTGGCGTTGAGCCTTGGGAATGAGAGGGGATGTGTTACAACTCGCTTTTCACACTAGGGATAACTTATGCGAAGGGTTGTTGCCTTTGTCTTCGGGGATATGGAATTCGAGATGGGTTGTTTTGTACTGAACTGGGATATTCTGATCTTGCTGGGGCGGGTGTCGACTTTCGGCATTGTATGCTGGTCCTTCGTGGTTACTGGATGCATGTTACAGGGTTTCGACGGCCTGGACCGCTGGATCTTGATTTCCGGATCGGAGACAAGATAATCTATCCGTCTATTTGTCCACAAATGACATTTCCAATTCGCTGGATGAGAGTAGGCGGCATGTGCAGCCGATTATAAAACAGCCCGTAAGACCGGGCCGACAGGTTACGTGCAGTCGGACACGATAGCCGTCACCACTAAGGCTTGGGATCAGGGGGCTAGGACCTGTCGCTGGCCGGCGGGCGTGCAGCGGAGCTAAAGCAGATACAGTGGCGGGGGAGAAAAGGCGCAATCTTGGGCCGCCATGTACAGGAGTAAAGTAGCATGAATTGCTTCATTACACCAAATGGTACTCAACATATGAGGTGGGCATACCACAGGCTGTATTTAGTGATTGGCCTTTTCGTCTACTACTCTGACTACACTTGGGAGCGGCCATTCGCTTGATTGCAAGAAGTGGATCCCGGTGGAGCTTCCGCGCCGTCCGCGAACCACACAAGATTAAAAAAAATCTACGCGCAAAGCGCAGTACAAGGGCAATGTGCGACAGGCAAAAAGCAAAAGAGAAAGCCCAACGCGGGGGTTGAACCCGCAACCTTGAGATTAAGAGTCTCACGCTCTGCCGATTGAGCTAGCCGGGCTGTTGTTGTTGAAGGCTACACTTGCGTACAAACCATGTTTACAACAAGCCTGACCTGCCGCCTCCTGTGGTGTCAACTCTTCAGCTCGCAGGGAACACGATTGATAATGACGTTCCGGTTGTGAGGTGAGAGAAATTCTGGAGCCTGGATCCCTGGCATAAGGCAGACTCTGTCGCAAGTCGCGACCAGGCAGCTGAGTGAGCAGTATGAGTGTTGTTTGTGCTGGTGTTTCCAACTGCTGATATATATTCCCACGAAGGGGATTGGTAAGTGAACCGATGATCGGGTGTGCGCTAATGGTTCAGGGACACCCGGGGTCGCAAAGGGGAAAAAGAAAAGACGAGATCGCCATCTCCCCGTGGCGACTACAGGAATCACCGCACAGCCCGACCTGCCATCTACCAGTCTGCCTCGGGGCAGTCAGTCCAGCATGGGCACGCGCCCATGCGATCATCGGATCGTTCGCATGCGGCGGCTTCTTGCAAAGGAACCCCCAAGGCAGCATCCGACAAAGCAACCTGGGTCGACAGGTTACCTGTGAACAGGATTAGTAATGCTTGTAGACGGGTCACTCCTGTATTATCGCGGATGTGCGAGGGTGCGAGTGAGGGCTGCGCAAGTTGATGACGACTTTGAGTCTCAGACAAGAAAAGCAGTCCAGGTGGCGAGCCATTTCCAAATAACACCCAAGGCCACCGCGATAGGATACGAGACACACCCAAGGGTCATGCCGCGCGGTACTTGAAACCAGGTTCCCTGCCACTACTCCTCGTAGTCCACTATCCACATCGAAGGCAGGAAGCATCTCACAGATAGGTAAAACGTGCAGGTTGCATAAATCTCGCGATCCAAAACTCGTGGTAGCAGGGATTACACCCAAGCTCAATGGCATGTAGAGCCATATGGATGGGATTGGATGGGTAAGAAAAAAAGGGGGAGAAGAGAAACCATGACCAGTCGTCGTTGTCGCTTTGACGGAGGCTGAGTTCAGGAAGGAGTTTCTGGACCCTGTGCGAAGAAGAAAGACATGATCGGGACTAGTGTAAGGGGAACAGAAAGGTGGGAGGGGGAGGGGGGAGGATGATGGGGCTGAGACGGTTGACCCCCCTTAGCACATGGAAGTGCGGACGATCGACAGGTCGCTCGTATAGCGGAGGGTTGGCAGTCCGGATCCCCCATCGTCAATCTTCACCCCAGTGCTGTACTTGCGAACGTTTATGGTAGATATTCTTAGAATGCTAGAATTCAGCACGAGAGATCGATAGGGTATGCGATGATGGTAGACAGACCCGACAGTTTGGAACGGATGGATTCTATTGTTTTGAATACCGCTCCGCGATGTTGACAGCGGCTGCGTAGCAAATGAGCGCGGGGACGGGTGTGGTTGAGCCATGAAGCGGGGAGAGCTGCTCGCCGGGCATCGACAGACAGGGGACCTCGCAAACCATGGAGGGTCAAGCCACAGTCCATTGTAGTTCTTTCTGGTGGAATTATGGCGTCATCAGAAAACAAGAGAGATTCTGAGCAACAAAAGGCTTCGTGTTGGGAAGGTTGTTGAGGGAAGAAGAAAGATGACGAGGTGGCAGTTAGAGGATTGCGGCGCAGGAAACACGAGGGTACAAGCCACAGCACCAGCCATCCTTCAGTGACTCCGACAATAGATGATGATGACTCTCTTCACTGAACTCAGTCCTTCCCCGACACCTAGAAGGGGTATAGACTGTTGACTAGAGGGGAATGATAAGACCCTGTCGATAAGCAAAGTGGACGGGGGAGACGCGTAGTCCGTGGCATTAGGGAGGAACTAACCCTATTCCTCTCCTAGTGTGTCCACCCGGTGCAGTCAGACAGTCAGATGAGAACAACCAGGGAAGGGGAATGATCCCAACTTGACCGACTGTTACTGTCACTCTCACCAATCAGCTTGCAGTAATTCCATCCAAAAGGCGATCTTGTTGTGAACACTGCGTTTCCAACCGGGAAGTGGAGATTTGAACCTGGAAAATGCACTGCCTTCACCACCACCATCATCCACTCCACTCCACTGCACCAGCCACAGTACTGAGTAGACACACAGAAGAGACAGCCTTACGGTCACCAGGCAGCACTTTCTCAAGGAAACTTCTCCCATCAGCTGCCACACCCTCCTTTCCCATCGTTAATTTTTTTATTATTTTTAATTTTAGATTATGACTGATTCCTCCTTAGCGTCTCCACTTGTGACCAGATCCGTCATGAATCCCTCCTGCAGCTCATTTTACCCTCTTCCATGGATGCCTTCCACTCGTCATGTCCAACTATATAACCTCCTCTGCTCCCCCCCCTCTATTTCTCAATTTCAACTTCATACATCTGCATCCAGCCCTTCAACTCAGACCTATTACCAACCATATAGCCACTCGCAAGACCACTTTGTTTGCGATCTATTCATTCAATCCCATTACTGCTACCCACCTATTCACGCAACACGTGCTCACCCAGAGCTCGACCTGACCTATCCGTCACACTGTCGCCTTTCAAGTCTACTCGATTCCTCTGGCCCCCTATCTACACCTCCATAAGGGAGTCTGTTCCCCTGCGATCCAAGCCCCGTCTCCGTCGCACCGCAAGCATGCCTCACCAGGTCGAGCAAGCCGCCGAGCCCGTCGTGCTCGTGCGGGAGCTGGAGGACGACGAGACATATGTCCTCAACAGCTTTGAGAGCCACGCCGGTCACTGCTCCCGTTGTGCCAACCCCCTTCAGACTCGCGAAGAAGACCGGTCTCTATGCAAGCGCGGCCACCAGTATGCCCGCGACGTGGCTGAATACCTGCGCAGCAAGAACGGCAAGATCTACTCGGTGGTCGACCTAGAACGCAACCGATCCACACTGGTCAAGGTGCCTCTCAAGTATGCCGCCGCCCGTCAGCTGCTGCTGGCAATTGAGGACGGCCTGCGCGTGGAGAAGAAGTCGACCGCCGGCGTTCGTGCCTCTGCGCCCCCGGTCATCAGCTACGATGCCACCTATCCCGTGCCCCCTCGACGCACCACCACTCAGGACTACCTTCACCCTTCGCAGGCCATCATCGAGCGTGAGCCACGGACCCTGAAGCGTCACCGGACCATCATCTACACATCCCCTCGCAGCTCGCCCAGCCGAGGGTCACTGTACGAGGCTGATGCGGCCGAGCGGTATGAGCGCGTCAAGGAATCGTCCCGCATCTACCGGCCGACCGACTACCACCGTTGAATGAGCACAACGCACTGGTTTGGAACTAGTCATTACGGTCTTATCTCGTGCACGACACTGGATACCTGTCTGCTAGCTTTGATGCAGCCAAGATGCTGTTACCACGCTGTCCCCCAAATCGAATTTTGTCCACCGGCAAAAGGTTTTCACCAGACCCGCTGTGGCCCCCAGCCCTCCCATATCTGCCCGATCGCATTGGATTTGGCAATGGAGAAATCGCTCAGCTACTGCTACACTTGCGCGTTCTTGCAGTGCACTGCATACGCCTGCAGATTCGAAGAGGATCTCGATTACTTTGTTTTTCGCATCTTCCTTTTCTGCGATCATCGCAACAATACCTTCCTATGTCTTATGTTTGGTATTCTTCGGTTCATCCCGTTACTTCTCGCAACCAAGAACCACAAAAAAAAAGAGACAAACTCGCCGAAAAAAGGCCACAAAGCAGAGGAGAGAACAAAGGAGAAGAAGAAGAGGGACGATTAGAGAGAAATCTGTTGTGCGACCCTTCTTCATGCTGTCCACACCGGGGGGAAAGCGGAAGAAGCCCGCTCCAGGTTGGGGGCATTCCAACTTTTGTTTTCTTGCTGCAGCCAAGATGTACTGTAACTTACTGTATGTTGCATGCAAGCAGTGACTCATCCGTCTCGGATGCCGGATTTGTGTGCTTAGTCTAGAGCACGATGGCTGCAGCTGACCTGCAGGCCGCGCCTTTCCTTTGACTTTTTCTTTTTTTTCTTTTTTTTCCTTTTTCTTTTCTAACTTCGGATCTCCCTCAAGGACACCGTCCCCTCCTTTGATCTTCCCAATCAGGGATTCTAGTTCATGAATTGAATTTCCTATGTCGTGATTGGTGGTTCCACGTGTCCAGCTATGTATGCAGTATGAATCAGGACTCGTACATGATTCGCCAATTGAGAATATGTTTGATGCCCGCACGCGAATAGTCTTCTAGATTGGGCTTAGCGTTTAGTAGGGGCTCCTTACACCCCTGTACATTTAGTGCCTTGAGACGAAGACCTTATTCTACGTATACGTATACGTAAATGATATGGAGCCTCTTCAGAAAAGACAATCCGCTCAAATGGTTCTAAGTATAGGTAGTTCTGCCAAATCGACAATTACCACTTCCGCTGGGGACAACCCCCAAAAGCAAACCCGCGACATCCTCCCTTCCCCCCTTGTCCACCGTATCTCTCTCCAGCAGAGCAAGCAAACAAAGGGCATCAATTCTCCGAACCAAACAACATTCCCTGTCCGAGAACCACAGAGTGTTCCAAAGTAGAAAGAAGCCAGGCCTCACCGATGCCACTCCTCGGAGATTTTTTCTCTCGCCTCGCCGGGTAGCAAATCCCGCAAGTCGCGGGCGTGGGTGGACCTGGGATATCCGAATCTGTGATCCCGGAGGGAGGAGGGTCGAGACGCCGGAGCTTTGCAGATGACTGAAACGTAACAAGGGCGAGATATGCAGCACTGCACGCCCAGGGAGAATCGTACAGCTCCGCTGCAACCGTCCAACCTAATTTAATGGCTCATGCACGCTGTCAAGGTTGAGGAACCTTGTTTTTGTTTGTGTGTGGTTGATGCATGGCGGATGTCGGTAAGTGGTTGCATGTCGCGACAAGACAAGACAAGACAAGACAAGACAACAACAGCATTTCGGCCAGGATGTAAATTGATACTATTCAGTACGTGCGCTCAGCTACGCAAGGCGTGGGTCACTTCTCTCCAACTCAATTGCAACTCATTGTTTCTAAACATAGACCAAACTCGACCGCCCGCCCCCCGAACTTCGACATTGGACTGTCCAGACTCCAGAGCGCGTCGAGTCTCCACCGACCCGCCAACACTACCCATACAAATTTTGGTCTTCGACATAGCATCACAAGCGACATCCAAGTCTAGAACCAGCCTCCGAGGGCGACTTGGCACTTTGGGTGGTACGTGCCCAACAGAGTGGATCTATCCCGGACCATGGACCCAGTTCCCGGGATCCACTCCGACTGAGCTGTCATGCCTCTATACCGTCTCCATCCCTAGCTGAAAGTGCGTGGTGGTGTTTCTGGGGCTGGGATTGGGTGAATCGCTAAGAAAGCTAAGGGGTGAGGCTAGATGGTTTGGAGTTCGTTGCTATTTAGTGCTATACTGGGGGCGACGGGGTGGTTAGGTAGGAAAGTCTGCACCGGAATTGTGGGGGTGGGTTTGCCTCACTATTTGAGTTTTTGTATAGATGGTTTGATGGGAGGAAGGGGTCTGTGCACTTAGGATGTAGAGATTGAGGGGTTGCGATTACGATTGAGTGGGTATCGGGAGGTGGTGAGGTGGTAGACTCATGGATTGAGGGCTATCGCCGGATGTGAGGTAGTGAAGGGGTGACGAGTGATGGATACGCTGTTTTCCGTGGACCTCTTGAGTGTAGAGGATGGTTTATTACTTTGGAATTATTGAGATTATGGTGCATTCACCTACAACAAGGATTGCAAATACGTTTTCTGGATACCTCGCCTTCTTCATGAGTTCTCCTTCTCGACTACCTTTCTCTCCCTTAGGCCTCGAAGGATTGATGTCGGTATGATAAGTCTCCACGAGTCTCTCCGAGCACAATTCTAATAGCTTGCAGCCAGAAAACCACGCATGACCATCAGGGCTTTATCGACCAGAGATGGTCTCACACACCGGTTGCCGTCGTCGATGCTTGGCTGCTCATCTGGTGAACCAAGGAATAAGCCTACTGACGAGGACACGGCTTATAGCCCTAATGTCGGCCACGAATAAGACTAAGGTACCCCTATGAATTGGGCGAGTTTATTCAACTACAATCGGACTCTCAAACAGGCCCGCATTGAGTACAATCAACAAGCCCATCGTCTCACAGAATGTATGTCCTCGGTTATCCAGCCAGTTAGGCTAGTAAGCGTTGCCATCCGCAGACCTCACTTCAATTTGAACGCCAGCATCTCTTAGCCCATCCACATACTCCATGCCTAGGAAACTCGGCGTAAAGAATCCGCCCTTCCCAGCCCGCTCTCCTCCGCTCTCCTTGCTCCCCCTCTCTAACAAAACCCTCGCCCCAACACAGGTTAGCAACGCTGTGAACTCATACAATGCCCCTTCCCGCAGCAACGAAGCTTCAATAACTCCTTTTTCAGTCCCTATTCGACCCCCAGCCCCACCTACAGCCCGGTACTCCGCACGCTCAGCCCCCCTCAACGCCTCTTGATCAGGCAAATCACCCGCGTTCATTGTCAGGAGCTTCCGCACCAAGCCCCTCACAAGCGGTATCCAGAGCAATAGTATGGCGATCTTTGTAGCACAATGTATGAAGATCGCATTCCAAATCCCGGTAGTAGGAAGGTACTCCTTGTACTGGAAACCATCGCCATAAAGCCCAGGGTTCTGGGCTGCGCTGCGGTGTACAACCGAGGCATTCCCGGGGCCCGCGAAGGATGTTGTCAGAGGCCCTAGGACGGGATGAAGACAGTAGCCGAGCGCTTGAGACAGAAGTGGTGATCCAGGGACCAGCCGCGGCGGTTGCTTCCGGGAAGTGAGCACCCAGGAGCCCGAGTTTCCGGACAGGTACCAGGATGCACCCCAGGTTGTGAGACTGTCGAGAACGGTGGTCAGGGAGCCCGGGGTCATTGCTTTGATGCTAAGCTTCCCAGACGATACAATCACGCCCGGTCCCCTGGAGTACGTCTCCCTCGTCGTTTTTGTGATCAGCCACGCAAGGAGATCGGCCGGTGCGGCCGGTGAGATCCCTGGTATTATCTGCTCTCATCACTACCCTATCAGCGCACACCGTGGGACAATCCCGACCTGGACCCAGCCTGTAGTTCATTGACATAGGGCTTGATAACTCACAATAGCCCCGCTCTTCCTCGCAACATCCTCGTACCTCTCAATTAACTCCGCAATCCATAACGTCTCGGTCGAGAAATCGAGATAATGTGTGCCCACCCGCGCACAAGCCTCCACAATTGGCGTGGAGAACCTATGGAACGGTCCGACGCCATTGACCGCGACCTTTGCCTTCCGGGTAACTGACTCGAGGCTCTCTTTGGTGAGTTCAACGATTTCGATTTCTAGTTGTGTCGAAAGTCATTCACCCTGTCAGCTTGACTGACTAGGTCAATCTCCACACAGGCCAGAAGGTCGGGGTAACAGTCACCAACGCCGTCGGAGAACAGGGGCTGTACGTACCAGGCTGCACCCTATCCGGATACAACTCTCTCAATTTCCTCGCCAACGCCTGGAGTCTTTGTTCTGATCGGGCGCCAATGCACCAGCGGATGTTCGTAGGGTAGTGTTGGGCGATGAATTTGGCGCAGAGGGTACCGGTATACCCTGTTGCGCCGAGGAGGAGGATGGAGTACATTGTCTGACTTAGTCGCGGGAGTCTGATACAAAGAGGCGATGGCAGTGGAAAGAGGGATGAAGATGGTTTGACTCAAGCGCCCAATGAGTGGTGTGGTTTAGACTGTTATAGACTCAACCCAGGCAGACGTGGAGGGAAGGTGGGATGAGGCTGGGCATATACGGAGTTCCGGGTTTCGAGTTGTGTCAGGAGTAACAGGGAGTTAGCTCTATCACAGATTCCAAGATGTGGACTTGGAGTTTCAGGCTAGAGTTTTCTCATTACCAGATCGCCTGGTAGTCTTTATGGATAAGTTAGAATTGTTGGGTAAAATCAAAACTAATTTAAAGGCGCGTAGCCGGATGCTAATATCGCGTCCTGTAGCTCAAGCAGTTCACTTAGGGAGAACAGAATGGTGATTTCGAAATTAGTTTATAATGATCACATTTTTACCAATCAAGGATTAAGTTTATTGAGCCTAAGAAGACTTATAACTGATTGATCTAGCCAGATACAGGCCCACTTAGCGGCACTAGCCTAGGTTCAAACCCAAGCCTGGAACTCCGGGCTCCGCGAGCCTATATTTCGAGGTTGAATCTAATTTACTATAAGTACTTGTATACAGACGCTGCCCTTCCACTCGCCCATCCATTGTTATTCATTAGCCCTTCCTCCTTTATCAACCATGGACCCCCACAGCACCTCCCGCGAAAAGCTCCTGGTAACCCCACCCTCGCCTCCACCTCCACACAATCTCACACGAATTGTTTACTTCCCAGATAACCGGCGCGACCGGCTACATCGGCTTCAAAACCCTTCTCACAGCTCTCTTACGCGGCTATAGCGTACTTGCCCTGATCCGAAGAGACAGCGACATCTCTGACCTCCAATCCAAAAGCGCTGCTATCACTGAATCCACTCGATCAGGACAACTGAAGTTTGCCGTTGTCCTAGATTTTCTAGCCGAAGATGCCGTCTACAATGTTCTGAGGGGATCGGGGACGACGGTGATTGTTCATCTGGCGTCGCCGTTGGCTCTTCAGGTGAGTTTCGGTTTTCTGATTCATCTTCTGACGTTGGCTGGGGCTGATGCGAGGGGGGCGGTCGAGTAGACGGAGGATTATGAAGAGGATATCATCCGCCCTGCTGTTTCGATGGTAACAGTGTTCCTTGACGCTGCGAGAAGGGTGGAGAGTGTGAAGAGGGTTGTTGTTACTTCTTCTTGTATGCACTATCCATCGACCCGGCGCGAGGAGATAACAAAAGCAGCTAAGGTAGACAACAGGCGTGACTCTCATCCCCTTCGAGTGGAACTTCAACCCAGATTCCGAAAGACTCTATACCGGTACTGTACCTCCGTTTCCCCCCATCACCACCCCTAACGGAGATGCAATCTAATCAGATGTATAGCAACCGACCTGAATCCCACCCTGAACATCACCCCAGCCTCTCCCATGGAAGCCTACTGGATCTCCAAAGCGCTTGCCCGAAAGGCCAGCCGTGACTTTATTGAAACCCATCGTCCTAGCTTTGACTACGTGAACCTCCTCCCCGGCGTGGTCATCGGTCCCGATCACCGTCTTACCCCATCGCCCACGAACAGGAACGTTAAGAGCGATGATGTGCTACACGGGACGAGAAGGTCCGTGCTTGCGCCCGTTCTGACAGATGATCTGAGTAGTTCGTTTCCTTATGTGGGTGTGCCGGTGCATGTGAGTGATGTTGCGAGGGCACATATCGATGCTGTGGATCGGCGGAGGATTCCCGGGAATCGGGAGTTTATTTTTGTTTCGGATGCTGATGCTGTCGAGGGTGTGGACTGGGAGGAGGGTGTTAGGGAGGTTGTGCGGAAGTACTATGGGAAGGAGCTTGAGGAGGGTTTATTTCCGATGGAGGGGAGGTTGGGGGCGATTCGCTGGAGGGTTGAAACGGAGGAGACGGAGAAGGTGTTTGGGTGGCGGTTTGTGGGGTTTCAAGAGACTATCAAGGCCCTTGTCGCGCAGTGGATTGGGTTGAAGCGGTTGGAGAGGCCAGTGGAGGCTGGATGCGAGTAGAAGATTGTCAGATGGACATAGACCCTAGACTGGGATATACGGATACGATGCGCCTGGCTTGAACACTTATGGCACTAAGTGGTAAGCTCTAAGCCTGGAACCTATCACCACGTAGTCTACATATCAATCGGTGCAGCCTGTTCCACATTATTCTTTCCTGGCCTCCCTCGGTGCACAAACAGCTTCCACGATGTTCCCTTCCATGTCAACCGCAAACGCCGCGTAGTAGGGATACCGGCTCATCTCCTCCCTGATCCCAGGACCGCCATTATCCTTTGCTCCGATTTCTCTGTAATGACGCAATGGCATCAGTAAAATACGCTTCCCCATTCCCAGTTTCCAGCGAGGAAAACAGAGGGGAAAGGGCACTCTGATAACCCACAATGCAAGGCGATGAAACTCCTCAACAGCCGCCCAATCTATACGTATACACACACATCAGCAACGGCGCAACAGAGCGCAGTCTGGAAGCATCTAAGCAAAGGAGTGCTTGGGAGAACTAACTCGGCGCATCAAACGCAACGTGAACAGGTATCGTGCTCTTCCCCTCCGGCAACGCCTTGATCCAGAAATAAGGGTAGTCGCTCCCAAACCCGATCAGCGTGCTGTTGTACGCACAGATCAGCTCTTTGTACCCCACTGGGGCGAGGACTTTGCTGTAGAAGATGCGCAGTGCAGGGAGGTTTCTGGCGGTTGCCCAGAGGAAGATGTGGTTTATGGTCATGCTGTGTCGAGTTAGGGAAGAATAAAGTAAGGTTAGAATGGGGTTAGATGTTCGGAGGGGCTTGGAGATGGAACCCGGTTTTATCTGGCTGCGGGCTGCGGCAGGCAGGCACGTATTGAAGCCTGGGGAATATCTCGGAGTTCCGTATTAGGCCTTCTTGTTCAAGGTTGTCAGAAGCCCACCTTGAAAGGGAAGAGAGGCAATCTATGATGTGCCAATAGGCAGACGGAGGGTGCTCAACTGAGTTTCGGGCCTATGCAAACCAACAAGGTGCCGATTGCCCCATAAACATGTGCTTCAGACATAAATCTCGGCTGTATGATGAGAGGTGGTTTCAACTTGGGAGAGCTTTAGGAACACTGTGTCAAATATTAAGATTTGTTAATAACTATACAGTAGCGATGCAGTAGCGGTGCAGTGAGTACGGCTAAATCAAGTACTTAAGTAGCGCTGATCTTTGTTTGTTCCTTTTCATGCTTGTGTATCCTTGAAGAAGGTAGATGAAAATATGTTCCTTCAGTCCCTTCTCTGAATGTAGGGTTCTGTCACCAGGCAGCCCTACGACGATGTTCTTCTCTTTGGCACATATGTGATCACGTGATCGCATGGGGCGTCCGCTGCTGCAGGGCTGCCAAGGCTATTCTATTCCCCTACAGGCATGGTAACGTTAGCCGACGAGCTCGGAGTTCCGGGTTCGGTATCCACCACCTTGAGCCCTTCGAGTCTTGGAGCTCCGCATGTATGCATCGTCGTCCAACTCACCCATCTCACATCTTCACAGTCACAAAGTCACAAACATGGAGCCTACAGCTGTGGATAAGAGAGCCGAGCGGGCTGAATGCCCCTTTTGTGCCACTACCTTCACCCATCGTGAGGCCCTTTGAGCTCTCTCTATCTCCGGAGCGCTCTCTCATGCAGTATCAACAGGCTCCTCGCTTATTCGTCACCTCCGGAAGAAGTGCAACCAACCTCAACCGCAGACTGTGCGGCGCAAGGCATGTAGCCAATGTGTTGCGGACAAGACGCGGTGTAATCTTAAGCGCCCTAGCTGCTCGCGATGTTCTATGCGACAGATACCCTGCCAGTATCCAAACCCCTTCCTGGACTCATCCGACTCTCCATCACCAGACAGGGAGGAGACGACTTTGGCACCACAAGTAAATCCATCGAGTCCACCGGAGCCACAGGCTGCTGATTCGTCAAGCCTATTTGAAGCCCTGCTTGACGACTCTGCGCCTTGGGACCTGTCCTTTCCTTTTGACGTAGATTCTTCCCTGTCCCCGCGTCGCATCTCCGCAGCTCTGGTCCGTAATGACAATGCCCAAACATACCCTCCTGGGTTGATCGGTGAGATTCCACCAGAACCAAATGCACTGTCCCCCGCAGCGGCGCTGGCGAACCACAGCATGGAGTTCATCTTCCGTGTTCTTCGATCCTGGCCCAGGATGCTGGCAGGGGATTTTCAGACGCCTCCATTCATTCACCACAGCTCCATCGCCGACGATAGGACTCTACCCCAATCCCTCGCCAACTGCTTCACTCTCGTCAAAATGTGGCACGGGCAATGTCATGGAGCCGAGAACCTGGTCCACCGCCTGATCCTGAACGAAGTAAACAGCCTCTTGAACAAGGTGCGTACACACATCCGGACCCTGGAACAAACGTCGGCTGATAACTGAAGCTCGACGATCTCGACGAAACTTCCCTCCTCGCAATCCTCCAAGCAGTAGTAATTTACCTGATCATTCTGCTCTTCCCCAGCGAGAGCTCCCGCCCAACGCTGCCCCCACCGACCCTCCTCCACAAGATCCAAGATCTGGCCAACCACGCCGCCAACACGGGCCTTTTCCTCCAGGAGGAAAGAGAGGCAATGCGTCCCACGTGGACCGCCTGGGTCCACGTGACCTCCAAGCGACGCGCGGTGTTATCGCTCTACCTCCTCCGCTGGGCACTATCTGTCTTTCACGACGCCCCGCCGCTAGATTGCCGCCAGGTAGGCTTCATGCCGGCGCCTGCGGCGAAGATCCTTTGGCAGACGAAGTCGGAGCAGGAGTGGAATTCCTTGTATATCCGGTGGCTGACCAGATGGGATGGGCATGGCTACATCCAGGGTGAATTCGATCAGATCCGACCGGGGATTAAGATGGCGGAGAGGGCGGAGAAGTGGCTGGAGGAGGCGGATGAGTTTGGAGTGATTATGATGTCCATCGGTGAGTTACCCTTTCAGTGGAATGTGAGTAGGATCACCGCTGACTGTTGTGATATAGTAAACGCGACAGACTGCCCATTACCCACGTTTGCGGTTCATTGATGCATTATGCCAGTGCCCAGCTTGATTCACACCTAGTTGCACAGCGTCTTTCATTTGCTGAAAAGGAACAACACCTAGGTAGCATCAATTGGCACGCTACCGTTTGCTTTCATGGACACCCATACCCAAGGTTTCTCTACGATGATCCCTCCAGCAACACTCACTCGTATCTAAAAGTTAAAAGCAAGGAACAGTCAGCATCCTTCGCAACCCAGGCATGGTCGTAGTGACCTCCACATGCCTGCAATATATGGGAGGCGATCAGGAGCTTCCTTACGAGGCCCGTCTGGGACTTGGAAACTATAACGCACGTTACCACAAAGAGTATCCAAAATATTCAATCTTGTCGTATATTCCTAGGAAGATGCGACGGTTGCGTCAGACACTGCCTTTCTACACGCGCTGTTAGCAGCATATGAGCGGGACAAGAGAATCATGAGACAACATAAAATCTGTCCACGTGCAGTGCTGCACGCAGTTTATTATGTGGCAGCAGATATCAAAACACTCACGCAAATCATGCTGCAACAGTAATATACTTAGTAGAAGTACACCATCTTGATATAAATATCTCCCTATTGCAGAACTCCCGGGACACTACGCAATCAGTCCTGGACGTCCGAGTTGTGCATTTCTGACCAAACTCCAGGTGCATGTCCGTAACTCGGGGTTCCAGGTGCACGCATGAGCCCCAACCGATACCTCATGCCCAAGTGGTTGAGATTTGACATATTGTGAACGCGATTTGTAATTCTTGAGCGCGTTTAGAGTTGATTACAGGTGTACGGTATGCGATTCCATTCATAGAACTCCCTGGTGAGAGATATATAAGCACCATTGTGCAACCCAGGGATGAAGATGGAAGACCCCGAGATTCCAAACCACTAAAGCCGAGATGCCGGGCACAAACCACCAAGAGGAAGCGGCAGACTCCGCCGGGCATCCTCCTCACAGCTCGCAAGGAGGGCCTTGAGCAGGAACTTGGTTAGGTAGGTACTATGCATACCGTGACAAAGCCCAGTGTGGCCTCTGAGATAATTGAACTTGAAACTGACGAAATCAGACTGATAAGATACGGTGGGCGGAAAGAAAAGGGATATCAAGGTGGAATACCCCCGTCATTAACTCTGACTCTAGTGTACCGGCCCCAAAATTCAGTTTTGATTTATTCATTTTATTCATGAATAATTTACCACAAGAACAGATACAACAATCAACTCGTGTCTCCCAAGTCATCACATCTTGCCCTTTGACTTCAAATTCACATCGGTCAAAACCTTCTTTCCGATTCCCCTCTCCTGCAACAGTCCTAGTACAAGAGCTTACAGCTCCAGCTAGTGGGCTCATCCGGGTTACCCGTCCCGTTGTACTGGGCCTGGTAGGGGTAGTGGCACACGGGCCGCTGGCGCAGGACCTCCGTCGCCGTCGTGTCGTTCTTCCACTTGGTGGCAATGATACTGTCCGGGGCGGTGCCGTTCTCCACCCAGGCCATCATCGCGAGAATGATGTCGTGCTTGGCGTCCCGGTACCCGGGGACACTGTACGTGCCCGTGTTGATCATAGCGGCTTGGTCCGCGCCGGCAATGTACCAGGGGGCGTTCATGATATCCGGGGTGGAGTAGCAGTGCCTGTTTATCGAGAGTCAGCCATTTATTCTCATGAGACCTGATTTGGGAAGGACCAGGCAGGAAAGAAGACGATAGAGAAACTTACTCCATGCCAGGGATCAAGAACATGCGGTAGAAATCATCCATTTCAACGCCCTGGGGCTTGAGCGCGCTGGAGGCCTGGTCGTAGTAGTAAATACTGGCATCGGGGGAGACGTACGAGTCCGACAGACCGTGGTAGTGCAAGAATTTGCCGCCGCGGTTGTGGAAGGCGCTGATGTCGTAGCGGTCGGCCGTCGCGTTGCCCGGGTTCAGCTGGTCGGCCAGCTGCACGGTGCTGTAATCCAGATCCTGCCACACAAAGTCGGAGAGGCCCATCAGGTCGCGCGGATACCAGTACTGCTGGTCGATCGTGCTGTCTTCGCCCAGGCCGATGTTGCCGGTCAGCCACGAGGCCTCGCTGCCCAGCCACATGTGGCCGTACACGTAGGTCTGGTTGACATCGACCCAGTCGTTGTGGATCTTGTACAAGGTGGAGAGCTGCTCCGCCGTCAGGCACTCGTCCGCCGCGCTGGTCGCATTGCACATCAGGACGTTGGGGTTGAAGTTACAGCCTGCCGGGTCGGAGATGATGTTGTCGACCAGGCCATCCTGGGGGTCACACTGCCTCAACACCTCGGCGGCGATGACATCGAACATCGGCTCCGGAATCGTGTGCGAGGAGTTGGCCGGGGCTTGGTAAGTGGTCTGCTTCAGGTTGTACAGCTGCTGGTGCGTCGTCCACCAGGCCGGGGCGCCCGCGAGAATTCCGTCGTAGTCGTCCGGGTACTCCTGCATGTTCTTCATGCTCTGTCGGCCACCGGTCGAGCACCCATAGAAGTAGCTGTACTTTATGCCCGAGCCATACCAGTTCTGAATCAATAGTTTTCCCAAGACGGTCGCCCCGTGCCAGGCTCGGTAGCCCCAATCGACCACCGCCTCAGGTCGGCCAATCGCCCAGGTACCTTCGGTGTCGATCCCGACATGGCCCAAGTTACTAGAGAGCGTTGCAAAGCCGTAGTGAGTGCCAGTGCCCATGTCAACCCAGTTGATGCCGCCACCCGCAGCAGCCGAGCTGTGAGCAAGTCAGTAAGGATTATCAAGACAATGCGGTAATACATACAGCAGACGACCATTCCAGTCATAGGGCAAGATCAAGCCGACGAGGTAGCTGGAGTTGCCCTCAGAAGGAACGTTGATCTGTACGCCACATCCCTCAGGTAGGTTGGTGGGATACTCAGAGGAAGATGTGTAGTTCATCGGATTGAACGTTCCATTGGCAGGAATGTACGTAGCCCATTGCACTTTGGCGCGTGTACCATTGGCATCAATGTACTTCTGAAAGGTAGTCGCCTTGCAGTTGGCCGAAGTCAAGGGGGTGGCCGCCGTCGCCGCCGAGCCGACCAAGGCCGTCAAAGCAGCCACGTTCGCAAACCACATGTTGGAGAATGTAACGGACAACCCGACCAGAGGAGAACAGATGGCTGATGATTAGATTTGGCGGTTTGGTATGGTGATATATATAGGCTGTATGCCATATTGGCCATTGTTGGTGACCATCATGTTAGAATGTGATCGCATACTCTGCGGTGTAGAGATGAAGAAACTGGTGACGCGGCGGCAGCGGAGACTAAACTCGAAGCTGCATCCTCCGCAACGTCTTGAACAAAGCCTACGGAGCTGGTGAGGATCGCAGAACGGAACAGGAAACGATCACCAGGAACTTTGCTGCAGATCCCGATCATGACGCTAAAAGCGGTCCAGACGGAGGGATCGCTTTTGCGGGGAGCTTCTTACTCAGTATACGGACCCAGCCTTATTGAGAATGACGAAGGTGGCTTGCGCAATGGGCTACTAGGTACTTTAGGTACCGTCTTATGTGGCCCGTCTTGCGATGAGAGTGGGGGAGGAGGGGAGGGAGGAACATGAAACTGGGAAGTTCTGATTGCTTGGGGAAAGGACTCCAACAAGGTTGAAAGCTTGGCCTCGAGCTCGGCCTGAAGGCCTGAAGGCTTGTTTGTGCCGCTTCGCTCGGAGTCTAGTCCGATCCCGGCTAAGCCGACCAATCTTCCGATACCGGAGAATAACTCGTATGATCAGGATCATGATCATGTTCATGTTCTCGTGCTGTCTCTGGGGAAGCAGCCTGGGCATGTTAACGTGAAACTTGAACAGTATCTTATAGATTATGTTGCTATAATGTGAATCACATGCCAGCACTAATGCCAAATAATGTAACATTGTCAGGAAAGAGTTGTGGTTCCGATTCGCAATGAAATAGGTACAGTTTTGGTGGACACTCTTGGTTGACGATGGAATAGAGAATCCAGCCTCAGTGAGAGACTTGAACCGAAACAGCTGACTTCATTCTCTGTGGCCCTGTTCATGTCTATCACAAGAGATGACTTGGGATTAGATTGTCCTATGACCAACAGGTACTCGTCGTGTCCGAGATTTCCTTCAATTTAGCTGACTGCTTTCCTTGACTCAGGTTCAATCGATAAAGTGAAGAGAGTAAGAATTTAAGTTCCAGGATCTAATTTGTAGAATGACATGAGAGATACTCTTGGAGCAGATCTCTGAGTTTGCAGGCCACGTGATGGCATGACAAAGGGTGGCTGCCATCAAGTAAAGGCGGTCGACGCTAGGCTCAAACTTCAACCGATGCACAGTACATGACCGTGTATCCGCCTTTTTCATCTTCTGATTGCCCCTGGTATATCCACCGTGGCACAATTATCAACAATGGACTGGGATACATTGTGTTTCAATGTTGCCACCCTGATTGCAGGCGTGTTTGTCCTCGACTACGGCGCAGACAAGTTCATCGACCACACCGTCATTGTCGGGCGGCGCCTAGGCGTCTCCCAAACGGTCATTGCACTTGTGACAGCGGGCGCTGAATGGGAGGAGGTCTGAGCTTCAGCACGAAACTATCTAGATGTATCATAGCTAATCCCCTCCTTAGCTCGCCGTAGTAGGTGCCGCTATCCTGCAACATCAAAGGCCCCTGGCCCTTGGGAATGTCATGGGCTCGACCATCTCCAACGTTCTCGGGGCCTTCCCTTTAGGGCTACTGTTTCACCCACAGGGAGTGGATTTCGACCGCAGCGCAAAGCTATATTCTGCCCTGCTGCTTGTGGTCACGACACTATTCGTGATGCTGGCGTTCTCCAACCAACTGAACCCGATGGTCGGCGGGGTCTTGATCGCCGTGTTTGGCCTCTACCTCGGCTCGATCATCTACGCTATCTACAGGGGTGTAGCGTCGCCCCCCGAGCTATCGGACAGCGACGATAGCAGTGAGCCCGGCGGTTCCAGTCATGGCGAAGTCGACGAATCTGCCGCCCATGCCCCTGAACTCTGTGAGACGTCTCCTCTCATCGCGAACGAGCGTGATCCTCCATCATCTACACGCAAAGACAGCGACGGCAGAAAAATCAAAAGCCTCCCATACCACCTATTCCAGCTCATTCTCGGATTCCTCGCACTGTCGCTGTCCGGATACATCATTTCCCACAGCGCCGCGACCGTCGCAGACTCCCTCCATCTCTCCGGAACCGTCTTCGGCCTGACAGTTGTCTCCTTTGCCACGACTCTCCCAGAGAAACTGGTTGCCGTCCTCAGTGGTGCCCGAGGCCACGGCGGCATTCTGGCCGCGACAACGGCCGGAAGCAATATCTTCCTGCTGACGCTCTGTGTTGGTGTCGTTGCAGTGGTGGATAACCAGGGACAGAAAGCGAGTGGTGGTTTTGTCGCCTTTGAGCTTCTGGCGGTCTGGGTCTCTTCCTGGGTGTTTTGTGCTGTCGTGTTTTTGGGGCTGGGGAGAAATGCGGCGGTTGTGCTCTTGGGGGCTTACCTTGTGTTTTTGTGCTTGGAAATCACTGTTTACCGGCGATGAGCACCTTAGCATCGAATGTGCAATAGAGGAGGGTTGTGGCTGGGACAGCCAGTGGGAACTTGGGTCGTTCCCCTGCTGTGTCTCATTTATAATGCAAGACCTGTTTATTGTTTACTATTGCCTACACCGGTGATTTTCTTGATAGATCTTCGGTGATCGGCTTCATGAATTTGATCACGGAAGCTAGCTTACTGATGATCTCCGTAAATTCACTCAATTTTTTTTTTAGTTAGATGGCCAAGTACAGGCTCTAAGCCGCCTCAGCCTCTTCGAATCTGGTCTGACGATGACGAACGCAAGTGAAGACCCTGGACTTTACCTATTTGACTGATGGCAGGTTTACAAGATCAAGATGTCACGCGGGGACAGTTTAGTGTCTCCCAAATACCGGGGCTTTGTGGGCCGTACATGGCAGCAGCTGCCCAGAGAACCACTAATAAAGACGCATAGTACTAACATTACCAATTACCAAACATCGATTCATGCGATGAGCATCACGCCGATCAATTCCCCTACATCTAGATTTCGGGCGGATTTCCTACGTCCCTCACCCCGAGGACATGGATGGTTTCGATGTCCGGACAGGGTGCGTAAAGTCCACGGCCGCATACTCCGCCCCCACAAAGTCCGGCACCCTCGCCGGCTCTTCGAGTCTCGCGACCGGCGCCTCGCGATGGGCATGCCGGCCCGTGAGGGTAATGAGCCGGCCCAGAACCGCAAACTCCATCTTCAGCTTGATACTATACACCAGGGACTTCAATGCGACCTGCAGATAGTAGAGCCCGACATACTCCAGAACGAGCAGGCCGACATCGAGCGCGATGATAACAAAGTTGATAGCCACGAGCTGGTAGATCACATTCCCGGCGCCGCTGCCACCAGATCCTCCGCCTCCTCCGCCGCCGTCGGTTTCCCCGGACTCTCGCCGTCGGCGCAGCAGCGCGGGATCGCCGGCCCACAGCACATGCACCGCCTCTCGGATATACAAGGCGGAGAGCAACAGCTCCAGGAGGCAGAACCCGGTCACCTGGGCGCGCTCGATGACCTGGTACGCGGCGTTCCAGGGGGCAGTGCCCACGAAGGCGGAGCCGTAAGTGGTGACGGTCGTCGGGGGCAGCAGGATGGCGGTGGTGAGCAGGATCAGGTAGAGGATCTGGCGCAGACGCCGCTCGTTGCGGAGGAGCAGGTGCAGGCGGGAGTACAGGACCAGCGACTGCACGGGCACCATGGCGTAGAAGCCGAGGTTCGAGATGAGCAGGGCGAGCAGGAGGGGGCCGAGCGAGTAGAAGTGCAGCACGGGGCCCACGACGCTGGGCATGACGCCCAGCACGGTGGAGACCAGCAGGGACCAAAAGTAGAGGCCGCGGTACTTCTTGAAGGTGAGGAAGAGCAGGACGACGAGCTCCACCGAGTTGTAGAAGGCGATGGCCAGGATCACGGCCACGATGATCTGCGCCGCAAGGGCGCTGTCCTCTATGCCGGTCACCAGCCCGGCGGGGATGTCATACAAGTTCGTCATGAGGCCGCGCGGGGTGGCGGTGCGCCGCCGTCTGCATCGTGGGAAACTGCAGGAAACGACTCTTTGGCTTTTTCTCGATTGATGACGATGTCTATGCACATCGCTTTGTGGTTCTCTGTATCTTCTCTTGTCTCACCGCGGGCTTCCTCCACCCACTCCAGCTGCGCTGTGTGTACTAACTGATGAGCGAACAGTGAGCGGCATCTTCCTTGTAAGGCAAGAATCAGCCCATGCCTTGACCGGCAACCGTGATGGATTTCGCCATCGAGGGAGATCAGCTGATAGCGAGGGAGAGTGATCAGTGGTACCGGTCGAGGTGGTAGGGTGGACTCCAAGCCAGAGCCGAATCATCATGCGCAACGCGATTCCATCCCCGGGAATTGAGTTGTCAGACCCTTGGTTATCGCAGCCGTAAGAAGAAATACAGTTTCAAACCCCGGATTCCCCGTCGGAGTTGCATCACCTCTCTGTAATCAGGGCCAGCAGTTTCCGTTGATGGAGATGATTTCCTGAGATAATTGACAGTTACTCAGGAGCCCGAGCCCGAGGTTAGCAATTCTCGTTATTGGCTTTGAATCAGACAATCGATGGACTGAGACCTGAGAACTGAATGTCGGGGCGCCGAATGACTACTAGGCAAAGTAAGTGCATGAAACAAGATGCACCGAGGGGTTTCCTGAAACTCAACCAGTATAGTTTCCACATTCATACCTTCAATCGCGAAGGCGATACCGTATACAGGGTTTCACTGTACACCTGTACATTGAGCCCACCACGGGCCAAGAAGGGAAATTTGCCGGAAAAGGCAAGCAAGCGGCAAGCCCCGCCTCATTGTCGAGGCCGGAAATCCGGGTTGGTTCCGAAGCCCCTTGGCTAAGTGCACTCTAGACATTCCCTATCCCAATTCATTAACTTGGAATCTTCCTTCTCTTCTCCTTGTGCCTTTCATCCTCACATTCCTTTCCTTAGTGGTGACAAGCACGACAATGCTTCTGCAGCCCCACGGGTCCCGCGGGCCCCGCGTCGCCCGCACTGCGACTTCTCCTCCCGTGCACCCCCGCCCGGCCATCTCCGCCGCCTGCAGCCACAAGAACTCTTGCTGGCTTGAGCATCACTTACTGACGTATACATTTACGCTAGAATATAATAAGATAGGATCACGATTGTCGAAATTGAGTAGATAACACTACTATCAATCGGGCGGGATCTTGGTAGGTAGTGAGTGGGTTTACAACCAAGGGGGTAACTCCACTAGTCAACCCTAACCCTCGTCAATTGGTAATCCAGGTTTTATGACCAAACTGGTGTCTTTCATTGCAAGAAGAAATGATTTCTAGTAGTCTAGTTAATGGTGATCAGCTGGACTATGCGTTCCATCGTGCTACTAGAAATCTACATCGATGCGGCGATAGCTCTAGCGCATGCAGGATAGCACGGATGGACCGGCCAAATTCAGCTGCTGTTCTCCCCTGGGGTCAACGTTCCTTGCCGGATGTGGACGGAAGGACTCTGAAACTGGTATACTGCATCTATCTTGTCTAGTGTGATGGTAAACAGTAGCAACAAATCCAGTATCGATGGGAATATGCAGTGAGGTTACCACATGTGGTGAGCCAGGGATTTTATTGAATCGTGCCCGTACATATCCCAACCACCTACCTACTTACGCAGGAACACCGTCTGTGACAGCGCCCCACCCCTTCATCGTCCAGTTCCCAAAGCAGGCATACTGATACTGCGCCTCCGCCAGACTTTGCCGCTGGATCTTCAAGAAGGTCGACAGCTCACACCACCCGTCCTCGCGGTACTCGCACTCGTCGAAGCTAGCGTGAAGCGGAATGGTGCGCTGGTTCTGAATGAAGTGCACATACTGGGTCGGGCCGCTACCGGTCACGTAGTCGCCGTTCTTGCTGGCAGCCTTGGACGATGACCGCTTGGTCGAGACCCTGTGCGGCGCGCTGATGATCTCGATGTTTAGACGACCCGCGAAGGGCACGATGCGGCTGGAGTGGAACTGCTGGTCCTTGGTGGGGCCGGTGAGGGGCAGGGGATCGGCAAATTGCGTGAGCCCGAAGGCTGTCAACACGGAGACGATGTTGGCGTCGTGGGTGAACTCCAGGTACAGCTTCTGGTCGAGCGGGAAGGTGACGGGGTTCGTGTCGAGCGTCAAGTTCGCCCCGGTGGTATTTGCGGGAACCTCGAGAAGATGGCCCTCCACGCGCGCCAGGAACTCTTCCACGAAAGCGATGCCCTGCGCGCGGCCGGTGGGGCTGTGGAAGCCGGAGAGCCCCGCGAACTCGAGGTCCATGAGATAGGCCCAGTTCTCCCAGTCCTCGTACGTGAACAGCTGGCAGAAATCACTGTAGCCGAAGCTGATCGTCTCGTAAGGGCAGAGCGCCTGCGCGTGGTACGTGTCGGTGACCGTCCAGTTGTAGCTTCCCGTCAGATGTCGCAGCTCGGCGGTGCGCTCCTGGAGATAGGATGCCATCCAGGTGCCCACGGGGACTTGGACGGATTCCATCATGGTCTCTGACGCCTTGGTGCAGGCGGACTGCCCCGTGGTCGCTGGGTCGATGGTGGCCAGGATGTTGGCGTGGTCCCGCCAATTCAGCCCGAAGAAGCCCGCCAGGAAATTCTCGCAGCTCTCGAGCATCCGCGCCTGCAGGGTCGTGCGCACCACGAGCTTTGAGGTGCGGTTGCTATTGTCGTACAGGTGGCCGTAGTTGTAGAAGTTCAGAACACCAGCGTCGAATAATTCCTGACGGCCTTGCGGGACAAGGATCTCCTTGCCCAGGTTGTATGACCACTGGTTCAGGAACTCAAGCTTGCCGGAGAAGACGTGGCCCTTGGCGGCTGCATTGGCGATCGCAGCGCCCCAAGTATCCAGGCCCTCAGATGAAGAGGGATATCGCGCCCCGTGACGTTGGAGCATGTGCATTTGGGTGATGTGCGCACCCTTTGGCAACGGATATTCGTTTACCCCGAAGCCCTCGGGCGGCGAAAAGTAAGGACTGTTGGGGAGAGTCAGTTATCATCCACATGTAATGCTGATGGAATCAATCCTACCTCAGGTCACCCATGAGGTGAAATATGTTCCTCCCCTTCGCACCCTGAATGGACTCCGAGGTCTCCAGCGGAGCGTTGGGAACATAGGTAGCATCCCCGAAAGGTGCAGGGTTGCTTTCGGCAAGGAAAGGCGCAGCACCGGTTGCGACAGTGCCTAGTTAGTACCATGTCAGTGGCTCTGGTTGTTTTGAATGGAATGAAGATCAATGGTGCCAACCAGCATAGAGATTAGGCGAGGTTTGGAACCAATTAGGCTGAGTGGGAGTCGCTCTCTGGTGAATCGCACTGGCTTCAACCGCGGTGGTGAATGCCACAGAGAGAACGAATGACTTGAGTGTATACATGGCCGTCATGAATCCTCAAGCTCTTTGTACACTAAATCCCATCTAGCCTTGTCCGTCGAGTCTTTTATACATTGATTGATCGTATATGTCGCAAATTGTACGAATCAGATTAGACCGCCTACAGGTCGGCTGTTGTGGTGGAATCATGGTTTTCGAAGGGTGACTGCACTGGAGAACCGGAATGAAGACAAGAACTACTTACCCTGCAATCAACATCCTCCCGCTCACCACGTGGGATAAAAGCGACATTGAACAGAGAGGGCATTCCGGCGGTTTCGTGCATCAATCTGACCCTGTTTCTGTAAGCGAAGCTATACTAGCAGAGCCCGAGTCAGCACGAAGTCCAAAGTCTCGTTCCGCCTCGCAAGCCATTGGATCCAACGAAACCTAATCATTAGCCGAGATTATCTAACTGGTTAGCGAGACCACGTGCGAGACAGCCTGCGCGAAGTAGCCGGTGCAAATGTCACGACCTCGAGTTTGACCAATGAAACTCGACGAAGGGAGACCGTGCTATCGATAGATAGCCCTGAAAATGCCAAGCCCAGGACTGGGGAAATTACCCGGACCCCCAGGAAACCTAACTTTGTTTTTTTCCTTGTGGTGTCTTCCGAGTCTTCCGTGACCGCAGTGCTTTATCTGAGTTCCTTCAGGCGATCCGCACACAACAACTCCCATCTCGTAGATGTGATGTCTCTTCAAGCATATCTTCGTTCTTTTCCTGCCCCGGCGTTTCTCTTTTTTCTTTGTTTTTACTCTGTCGTGTGCAGCGAAATCAAGCCTATGTGAATGCTTGACGTGCGTTTAATCCGCCGCCCGCCGCCAGTCGCTTTTCCTTTCCTCTTCCCTTTCCCCACCGCATCGGCCAGAACATCTCGCTGCTGAACATGAAGACCCCCTTCGCCATGATCGTGGGCCAATTTGACTTCCACGATGCATATGCTGAACATGATCGCTTGCATCCGTCCAACGGCGGCATTGGGACCGCTTTCGGGGAGCGGGCCTACGTGGCTCGGAAGGGCGCCGGCCATCTCGCTTAGGGCTTCCCATGCAAAGTCACTCTGCGGAAGAACCTCCAGACAAGTGATGTAGACGTCTAATTTTTATAGTCCGGGAAGCTTAGTTCCAACTCGTCATGTAGTTTAGATGTAAATCCTCAGTATCACCTCACGATGGTCTAATTTCGACTCACAACCATCGTCATTCAGGAGGCTTTACACTGCCAGTGAGCTCTTTTCGTTAATCGGGCTATGTTTAGGAGCAAGTATGGTGTATAATACCTGACTCTACCGTGTCTTTCGATGCGCTGGTCTCGATTTGCCCTATTTGAAATTGGCATAAGGTGCCTTCGCCCCTTCTGATGTAGATTGCAGTAAGGTCCAAACACGGGATTTCTGGTTGCTGTGTGCGAGTCGAGAGACTGTCGAAGATTGCTCCGGGATCAGGAAGTACAGGTGTTGAAGCAGCATCTCTCAATCCAGCCATTTGAAAAGTGGGCAGTGGGAGCCATGCAATGTTCTCCGCTGGGGATCCTGGTTCCCGATATCATCATCGGTCGGACCTCGCTTGTACACCACGAGGGACCCCGTTGAGTATCTTCAAGGAAACCATTCTCAAGATATCTAGCACCTACGCAAGGCCGAGCCTCAGCCTTTCCAGCTTCGGCGGGCACTTTTTCATGGTCCGGAGGGATAGTTTGCTTGGGCTTGTCGCGATGAACACCTGAGAAAAGGTTACAAAGCGGCCAGGCGAATTCCCGCTGCCTGACTCCTAAGGTATCCACATATTCTAGACCTTTTCTATAGCACTTCGTGACTAGTTGAGTTGGCAGAGAAACTCTCAGACGAATAAAGACAGGCAAGCGCTATGTAATGATGACCGGATAACTTCCGTCTGGAGCAAAGAACCAAAGCTCGGTCGTTTCAGCCTGGCCTACCTTGTTCGATCAATATTCAGGCTCTGCTGGAACGTTTCCGACAAATAACAAGGGACTTGGACCCGGTCAATAGGCTAACAACCTCGGCCAGTGGCAAAGAAACATCGCGGATTGTGGAGAGAAGAATGGATACAATTCATGTGAACGTGTGTGCCTTTGTGCAGGGGTTTTAGCACCGCCCATCGACTCGAGCCATGAAAGCAAGGCAAAGGGCACTCTCCAGGAGATAGATGGACTTATAGCTCTCCCTACTTGCCTTTACCGAGTTTGGAGGGGCTGGAGCGAGTAATATAAATACAGGGAGCCCTGTCCGGGCTTGTTCAGCCACCTTCACCAACAACTCCACACGATTCAATCATCCTCATTACCGATCGCTTTGAAACAATGTCTGAGTTCAGTCCGAGGGAAATCCTCGACCCGACAGTGTATTTCATGGGTGAATTTACCTTGGAGGGCGAGCGATTTTCTGGTCCCATTTGCCGACGGCCCCTGCCGCCGACGACCTCCAAGGCTAAACCGTTCGAATACACCGGCCAACCAGCAAACCTGGACTTGATTGAACAGATCGCAGAGCTCCTGGAAAAGAACAAGATACCATTTCATGTGGTCAATGACGGTATATGGCGTCACTTTGGCTGCCAGAATCCTATCAACTCCCTCGACAGTCATCCCGCAGTCCCTGCAGAAGCAGGCGGTCCAGGTCTTGCGCAAGGCTAACTTCGACGATAGCTGCCGCCGGATTGAGAATATATGTCTAGCTCGGTGGGTGCCCGCTCATGTCTTCCACCTCCAGCCGGCAGCTCCGGGGGAAGAGCTCCATGTGGATCTGAACCTGTTCAGCCACGAGGACTGGTTCCCGAACGTGAAGCTTCCGGCCTGTGGTCCGCTGGCCGAAGATGATGAGACTTATCTGGTCTCGACCGATACGCGTCTCGCCTCGTGCGAGCAGGCCAACTACGAGGTCAAGTTGTTCCAGCCGGCGCGGATGGTGGAGGCCATAATCCGCCTCGCCAACCGCGACTATTACCCGTACGGGCCCCAGCATCTGGACTACATCCCATTGTCCGACAGCTGCAAGTGGGTGGAGGAGCTCTCCAACATTTTCTCCTCGTTGATCCCGGAGAAAGAAGAGGACAGTACTGCTGCTGGTGCTGGGGAGCCCCGCAGCGAGCCCCCGCCTCCCTGGGCCCGTGCTCGCATGAACGAAGCCTTTACCGAAGCGCCTGAGCTCACCCTGAGGGGTCTGGATCCTCGATGGCTTCGCCTCGAAGATTTCCACCGGCCATGGTTTTTCTACTTAAAGATGCTCAGCCACCTGCAGGATACCTCGGGAGACAAGACCTCAGAAAGGGGGGTGAAGGTTCATCCCTTCCGAGTCGCCTTCCACGCGTGTACTGGCTTCGCTGAGTTGTCCTGGCTCCCTTGATCCCTTAAAAATCACGGCGTCTTTCCGGAAGACACCAGTCCCTTCCCGATGAAGAGTATCCTGGCTTAGCAGACTTTGATTGATCGCTTCCCGCACCTGGAGGAGAAGATCGATACTGCCCGGAGAAGGGACGTGGACGAGTGGCTGACTCCCTAGGACTACAAGAATGCCATCAGCTGGCGCAGGCGCGAACGTACATGGGATTATGATTGAAGACACCCAAGAATACCACCTCACAAAGGCAACCCCTAGGTACTTTAGCTTAGCTTAGGTTATCACTACCAGCACCACTAGGCACTACTAGGGAATACTAGGTAGTTGCTTCAGGATTTTCTTTCCATCCACTCTCCAGTCTAGACACCACCTCCTTGTGGAGTCCATGGATATAAGTTAGAACTAACTACAACCCCAATGAATGGTTTTACAACTAAGATAAGATACCCCAATCTCAGTAAGAGAAAGAACAAAGATAGAATGCCAAAGACTCCAAGACTGTTCGAGAACAAAAGTGACCACAAAAGGGACCCCCGGGTCTTTGTAGCTCACGGCCACAGCCCCGCGATCCACGGGAGGCACAAGCAGAGTCCTGCCACAAAACAAAACCCTGCCACAAAACTCAAATCCTCCGGATTATCCAAGCTAGGGATCTCATCTAGTCCTGACTCCTCCTGGCTTTGGCTTCCCTGGGGTTCAGGAAGAGGCTTCGACGCCTGAAGCGCCGCCATGATGCGCTCCGCGCTCCAGGTCACCCCGTACCTGCCGACTGCCGTACGTAGTTGCTCCGTGATGGCCTTCCGCGGAATGCGCGGGGCATCTTTGCCAACCTCGGCAATTTTCGTCCACCCACATTCCCTGTCGAAGTTCTGGCCAAGGCCCAGTCGGTCCCGGGGGATCAAGTGTACCGGGGCCATGACGAATTCTGTCGAGAGGGAGTCGTAATGTAATTGACTGTCGTTCAAGTGGAAGTACCCGGCCATCCCTCTTTCAGAGCATACTTAATTTTAAGGTACTATACTAGATATATACTAGGTACATACTGGGTATATACTAGGTATGTACTAGGTAACTAGTAGTTCCTCCAAGAGAGCCTGGAATCCACCATCTTCACGCTCCAGGCTTCCATCAATACCCTCCAACTCCAGTAAGCATGAAGCATTGACTTTCGAGTCTTCTCACCCGTGTCAGGTATTCATAGCTAGGATAGCCTATTGCGCTGAAAACCACTATCAACATCCTGACACATATTTATTAATAGCTGCAGAGGTATTTATCGAGAGTTGAACTTTAGTGGTGATGTTAGATTGATGATCGGCTGAAGTCCTTGGTGGCCAGATGGGCGGAGCGATTTCTACTGATAGTGAGCATCACCACGCCTACAACATTGACTTATGGAAGTAACTCGGCTGTCCACAGATGATTGTTACTTACATGATTTAAGTGAGCCGATAAGGAGGTGAAAGCAATGTTACTGCGAAACTTATATAACATGATAACCTGCCTAGACACGCACATAGTGGCTCGGTGACCCGATGAGCCGGAAAGCATAACCTCGTTCGCGCTGTGTTACTGCTATCCTTAGTCCTCTCCCTTCTGACCTTCTTGATATTCTTTGCTTGGTGAGCAGCCCTGAATATTGCTGTGGAGACTGACATAGTTTATACTTAGTTGCTGACTGGGCCAATCTCGTGTTTCTGCGTGCGATACGAGCAATTCATTCCCAACTTGAGAAATCTCTCCATGCCGTGTGCACTGTGAGGTTTGAATGTGAGCTCTTCTTTCTCGTGGAGTTTCGCATCTTTCTGTGGCTTTTTGCCTTGTTCTGAGCATGTACTCTCTCCGAAGCGTTTCACATACTGGAGGTATGTCGTAATACTGTATTAAACAACGTCATATTCACCCCATCGCATGACAATGATTTGAAGCCTGTAGACATAATGTAAGCATACTTCTTTCTGATTATTTGTGTATCATATCCATGCTATTGCACTGCTCTCGTATGCAAATAAACCTTGCCACCCATGATCTATGTATCGTCTAGACGCAAGCTCGGTCAGATTTCGAATTTTTACGTAATTAGTTTATTCGGATACAGCAGGAATTTGGGTTATAGAAGTCCGCATACTGCTTGTAACTAGGCTGCAGAAGATATTGCTTGTTCATTGTAACGTTACACCATGAACTCTTATGAACTATGCAGTTCGCGCGTCGTACAACCTTGAGATCTACTGCTGAACACGAGATCCAGCATAGAGAATTCTTCTATGATAGGGCTGACATTGTCCTGTGCTGACGCCAGCCTGACTACAGGCCACTTCTCAAAACAATAACAAAATCGATTTGCGCGCCATAGTTGAGCGTTTGGCTTCTAAGCCTGATCTATAAATTCGGGGCTCTCCACCTCTCTAACCATCATCCTCCTCATCAAGTTTTTATACTACAAACAAGCCAGCCAACCCGCCATCATGAGTGACTTCATCGGATCAAACAAGTATACCATCACGCCCCGCCACACCGACAAGAAACTCGACCTATACTAGGGCAGCAAGAATGACGGGACCACGCTGCAGATTTAGTATGGTCTTTCTCTGGCTCCCGCCGTTCAACTCTGTTTTGTCGGGGACCGAACTGACCTCTCATTGTAGCGAGTCGCAGCCTGGCAATCCGAACCAGGAGTTTGTTTTTGCCGATGCGGGCAACGACGAGTACCTGATTCTGAATCGGGGTACCGGCACGTACATGACTGCTAACAGTATGAAAGAAGTCCCTTTTCCCCTACCTTCTGCCCCCCACCCCACCCACCTCGAGCTCCGATGGGAATCTTTCTAATACATTCGATAGGTGAAACTGACGCCCCCGTCACTGGCAATCTCCTCCCACCCGTTGACGAGAGGGTGCGCTGGAAGGTGGTTCCTGTTCGCAGTGGAAGTGGAGCCTACAAGTAAATGACACCCTCTTCTTGGGAGCAAACCTCTTGCCTTGATTCCCCCATGAAAGTTTCACGCGCTAACTGTGTCTGGATTGGGAGATTCCAGCCTTTACAGTGTTGCCTATCCGGACCTTGTGATGGATACCTTCCGGGCCGGGACTGACAACGAGACTCCGATCGTTCTCTGGACCAACAATGGAGAACAGAATCAGCAGTTCTTTTTGAGACTCCCCTGAGTGGGATGCTGGCCCGTCCGAGGAGCGCGGTGGCCGACGGGGCTTGGCAGGTCGCATATATGCCTGTAATTCGGGTCGGAGAGAGAGAGAGAACGGACTGAGGGTGTGTAATGTACCTGTGGGCCCCAGCTACCGCGCAGTTGTGGTGACCATCTGGCCTTATCTGCGTTTGATTGTTTCTCGTTGATTTTGTCTCGTCCGTCGTTTCGCGGCATGTGGACCCACACAGTCGTTTGAGGCCAGGATAGGTAGTGAATCAAGTTTGCATAGCTCGAACTTTGGAGATACCACTTCTAGCCTCGTCGGAAAACAGTGCAAGAGTCTGCTGTCGTAGGGTTTCGCTCTGCAGAATCGACAGCGTATGTGCTCACTGCCGTCGGGCGTTTATACCTGTGTACACTAATAATCACGCCGTTCGGACACGCATTAGATAATTACGAGGGAGAGAATTGCGCTCAACGCACACTCCAACTTCTACCGCAGGTACAGGAGATCGACGCCCGGTTTCGACAAATTTTAACCAGCAGAAGTGGATTGGCCGTTCGGCTGCTGTCTTTAAAGAATTCAGAACTAGGACCATGTAGACCTGATTGGTCATAAGAGAGCCGATTCAGTGATCAAGCACGATCTATCACCGTCCGTGAATCCTATGTTTCAGGGATGCGGCAATGATAAAAACCTCCCCTGCTTAGCGGTCTGCCTGATATCTAGAGGCATTGCCCTTTTGACTTCCATCTTCGCTGCTAGTCCAGTATTGTAGTTGTGGGCGACATGGGAGATCTGAATACCTTAGGCACTCCCGCTCTAGCACTTGTCCATTCTTTCTTCTCTAGGTTTTGGTCACAGAGCATCTGGCTACGACCCTCCATGCTTTATGTCGCTCTCGCTGACGGCTCACTGCCTCCCTGTCCAAGCGCTGAGTAGAGCCTAGAGTTCTCGGCGCCTCTTCACGGAGCGTATCGTAGACAGCTGGACATATCACAGAATGTGTTATTTCGATGGCTTTCGGCGCAGTCGCAAACCAGATCGGAACTGCAACCAATGCCCCAAGCCCTGTTAGAGCGCCCGCGCCCACGCTCACGCCCAGAGCGAGACAAGCACCGATGGCACCCCACCCCACTGCTGGGCATTGTTCTGACAAGTGCGGCACCTGCAGCTATTGTATCCCAGTGTCCAGGATTGAGGAAGGAGCCCCGGGGGTGCAGCGGGGGTGCAGCGGGGAGGTTCATCTCGACGACCATTTTGCCATGATAGAGTTCGCCCTCGATTCGAAGTGGATACAGGTCAGCTGGGAAATGCAACGGCTCACGGATGCATAGTTTGTACCAAGATGGGACCAGCACATGGAAAACAATGTCCTTACCATAGTCCAACTCTGCCGTCAATCGTCGTCGGTATTTTGCATATCCTGGCCAAGCACATCGAAGTTCTTTCTCTTCATGCAATACTCGAGCGGAAGGGGGCTCTCGCTCGCCAGTCGGTCGAATGCGAGGTACCAGATTGTGTCCCGGTGGAAGACGAAAACTCGATGATAACGCCGGTCAACAGGCGCAATGTCTCCGAACTTAGATTGAACGAGATCGTAATACATGTCTGCCGTGGCCATCTGGCCCGCTGCTACCCGATGCCGTAGGACAATTACCGTCGCGGAGCTCGGTGGAAATATAATTCAGTTCTTTGATCACCTGAGCCACTTGTGTGGCTTGGACGATTTGGGGTCCGTGGATTCTCACATGGTTGACAACTGGATTGCAAATGCCGTGGGCGGCTTGGGAGTTCTCGATGCGGCTCACTGCGATGTTGTTGCTGCTGCTGCTGTCTAGTCCTAAGCTCGGACCTGGGAGGCTAGCACCGGCCACCAGTGTCTCTGGGAGAGAAGCGTTTGAAGTATCGACAGCTATCGTTATCAATGTGATTCTTGTCATCATTTCCACGGTCATGCGGCTAGCAATAGCTTCAAGGTCTTCGTCTGGTGTGTACCCCATGGACTCGGAAGACCGAATGAGGTATCGATATAAGCCCCGGCAACCGCGCGCAGAGAGGCTTAGAGCTTTCATAGCTGCCACGTACGGCCCGGTACCAGGAACAAGGGCGAGAATGGTCAAAGCCTCGTCAACTTCGCGTGCAGCTGGCTCCACTATAGGCCCCACGATTTTCGCCACCTCTCTGGGGTGTTTAACCAGCACATCACCGACGAACTGGGCATATGCTTCGTGGGGAAAGCGGTCTGGATAAAGATGTTTGACAAGGCTGCCAGTCAGAGGTTGTACCTGCAACCATGCCGGCCATGTTGTTGGTGGTCTTCAGCTTGAGGCTTCTATACCTTGGAATTCGACTCCAAATTCATCTGCAGAAATTTTGAGGTGAGAGCTCGTCAGCGGCCATGGCCGGTTCAAGTAGGTGAGTACGTTGTATAGAGTCACCTTGTAACGCTCTCTTTGCGTCAGCTCGCGGGAACCACTGTCTGCATGCAGACAGGGCGTTCTACTCGCGATAGAACACGTAGCTCTAAGACGACGTTCAGCAGGAAGGACCGGAATCCACGGCGCTATAAAGCCCTATTAACGCGGGGCATTAGCGCCGATTCGGTCTGAAGTCACATGTAGTATTAAGTACCTGGTACTCTCATTGCAAGCGCTGGACTTTAGAGCTAGCTAGCTGTGACCGGGCCAGGAATTATTATCTGGGTCGGCTCTTATTGGGTCAGGATTTCTACTGTCGTAAGAATTCCGGAATAGTGTTAATGCTTATCAAATTTCTGAAAGTTACAGGCAAGTCTGACAAAAAAGAATGAAATAAGGACATTTCAACCGGAAGTGTTCATTCTTTTTCCAGCAGAGTTAAAATAAATGAAAAGACCAAAAACATACAACAGAAGGGATTCGCTGGTGGTCACCCACCCAACTACTAACCTCCCGGCGTGTGGCTTGAGTACGGCTGAGCGGACGGGAAGCCCTATTTTCCACACCCTGTGGTCGTATGTAACTGTCAAGGATACTATTCGAGATATGTGGAGTGTTTGACCAATCAAATTGTCCGATCACCATCGTATTATACACCTGTACCGAACTAGAAAGAGGATTGGCTTGGCTTCATAGATGCGGCCGTTGGAATCCTCTGTAGGCGCATCAACTCCCATCACAATGGTACGAGTTGCTGGCTGTATATCGGATTGGAAATGCTGCTCAACACGAGGGACAGACCCGAGCATTTGTTGCTAGGTGACATACACATCGTACCACGAGGTAGTCTCCAGCCCCAACACCAAAAACATCTCGGAATAGGGGACCATAATATGCCTATAGATAGCGATAAGCCTGCCTCGGGAACGAGCCGGATACACGGATTCTGGCCCCGTAATTACGGTCTTTGGCTTGATAATGCAGGCTGGTTCTGTTGATTTGGTCCCCAATCTCGTGTCGTGGTATTAAGGCTCGAACATAAAACAAACAAACAAAGAAAACTCTATTCTCTGTCAGGTGGAGATTGAAGGTGTCGAACCTTGGTGTTCCAGCTGAGCGTAAAAAAAACACGGGATTACGAACCTTGAACTTTATCCCAGAGACCAGAACTCGGCTTTATGCAATTTCAAGGTAATATTTCAAATAAGAAGCAGCTTAATATGACAGCTGAGCAGGATATAGATAATTTGAATGCTACTTATAATTTCAAGCCTCTGAATGTGTTCGTTTTCAGTTACCATCACCTAATTCAGATCCATTCTTGCTCGCGGTTGGCACAGTGCTGTCGTAGCATAGTATCTCTTGCGCGTCTGACCACAGATGCAATTGATCAATTGATTAACACTGACACGCGCGAGGTAGTTTAGTCCAGGTCGCGCATAATCTCGTTCAGAGAACTCAGATTCTGTGACGATAATGCGACGATGGACTTAACATCCTCCACATCTCGCAGGCTGATGTACCTTCGTACGGTTCCCAAGTCATGGTTGAGTTGGTTACCCTCCAACAGGGTTACTTTTCTTTCCCCAATAATTTTCAAGCCCACGCTTTTAGCTTCAACCCACTTACCAGTGGTGAGGGGGAACCAATAACACCATTCAACAGTTTTTGGCCCAGCATTTGGCCCTCCTTTCGGTCGATGGATGTCTGATGGATTGCCTTCGTAGTCTCCTACGTCTTCTCCCTTGCCCGACGTGTTGAACAACACCCGACATGCGGGGATCGAAATAGTTTCGTCATTGTACTTGACGGAAACCACACAGCAGTCATAGAGCTCCATAGCGTTACTTTCCGATCCCTTCAGCCATGCTGCAGCTGCCAACAGCGTATCACCTAGAATACCGGTAATGATGATACTTGATCTGTTCTCGAAATCGGAAGGCAATGCCCGTCGGATATCTGATTTGACAACCACATTATAACTCTGTAGCTCCTCCGTGTACGAGTAGCTACCGCGTGGGTGAAAGGTGATCTGATACCTCGCCAAAACCATTACCAGATGCCACAATTTCTTGCGTCCATCAATGGTCAGTTTGTCCAATGATTCCTTATCCGGCGGATGGCACCTGGGGTTATCCGCTCCCTCGGCGAAGTGGGAGAAGGCATGCCGCAATAGAACCCATACGACTTGAAACACAGTCCAGATACAGATGACGCTCTCCTTCTGCTTTTTCAGAAGGGAATAGCCGTAGGGCAGCGAGCAAGCGTACGCCAGTGCGCCAAGGCTCCATGCCACCTTCCACACGGTGCTGCGTCGAAAGTTCTGAGGGATGCCTAGATAGACCCTGCGGTCACCGGAGCCGGCTTTTCGGGCCGTCGGTAAGTCTCCCGCGATAATGTCCAGCACATGGCCGCGGCTCCGAGCGTCCTCGCAGTGCTCCCGGATTCTGCCTCTCCAGTGTAACACGACTGCATGGAGAAAGAAGACAGTGTAAGGCGCGATACTTGCAAGGCCAAGCCTCAGGGCATTGAGATAACACAAGACAACAAGCTCACTGAGCTTGGCCAGGGAGAAAGCTAGCCAAAAGAGCTCTTCCTTGGCTCTGGGCTCGTGCGAGCAACGAGTGTCAGAGAAGGAACACACTGTCAGAGCCTTGTCTTGCTTGCATTCCGGCACATCACGTAAAAGACTTTCAGTGTACGCATCCAATGCGTAGACATCGCGTGGGCAGCGATCTCCAGCCTTTGATTCTGGATTAGCACCGGTAGCAACAGGCACCATGGTCAGGTTAGGGGACGTACTCCATAGACCATTGCCACGGCGGTTGGTCCCAGCTCCCGCCTAGCTGACGCATCGCCGATCGTCGAATCGAGGAGCAGTCTGAATCCGAGAGCCGAGTCGGTAGACTCATCTCTCAACTTGATAGATTGCCGGAGCCAGTCAGGAATTGCCGCTGCAGAACACGCCTTCAAGACTTGCAGGGATCCAAACACACTCATCCCCGCCCAGGCCAAGCCGCTAGGTCCTTTTGCCCCTAACACCAACGGCGTCGCGTTGGACGAACCGATGATGGTGGCAATAGGAGCAAACTCAACCCATGACTTGGCAAATACTGATCCTGGCATGTCGGCTATTATATACAAGCCCGTTGACAGATACTGTTTGGCAGCGAGAGTCAAGCTGCATCATAACAAGACTCTAGAGAAGATTTTGTGAGTCAAAGCTCGATTATTTATAGAGAAAGGAATTCTTCGCAACAAAAGTAGGCTCAATAACTACTTTGGTGTAATTGTAGTGGTGACTTAGCGTTTACGCCATGATTTGATCTTTGATCTGCCGAAGGTGACAAAGCTACGACGCGAAAATTTAGGCTTGGATCTTACTATGCTTAGCGACCAAAGATTGAAGCCGTGTTCTGCGTTTGGGAATATGCTCATCTGACTCGCGAGACACCTCGATGATAGGTCCCATGTATCCAATGTAGGTTTCTGTTGGATATTAGTAAGACCAGTTAAGATCGTCGCTCGCTATTAATAGCCCATATAAAAATCAACTTATCTTAGACCGAACCAATCCTTTCGATCTAGACAGATCTAGACACGATATCACGACTTAACTAGCAGACAAGGGCGATGGAAAAATAATAAGTGCAGCTAGTCCAACATATTGTTTTAGTATCCATGGTTTCGAGACTCTTTTTCCAAAGGTGCCTCCTCAACCTTAAGATGCCCACCGCAGGCGATCAAAGACTTTGCTAGCTTTGATCAGGACCCAGTAACCTTCATACACCGTCCTAGCGAGACAATCTCGGTTGTCACCGTAGAATAGGGCAGTCCTTGGACTCATTTGTCGCCTTGTTAGTTGTGGGCATGTTGAGTTAATCTTGTGAGTCAAAAGGTCCGAAATAGTCGACAACGCCGCTCAAACAGCCCAAAAGTCCATAACTGACACGAGTAGCACTAGGAAGGTCTCGCTCCGCTTTTTGCAATAAGCGTTCCAAACCACGGCAAGCCGTGGGTTTCTTAATCCGTGATATATTAACCAGATTAGACACAATTATTAGCTGACTGTGCTGAGATCGCCAGGTCGAGATGGTGGGCTTTGGCTGGTCCAAATCTTCGTCATGACGCCATCCCGATAGGTCTCTAATAGAACCTCGACATATGATTCTGTTAGAAAATGGGGGTCTGTTGACATAGTTGTGCAATGGTACAAGGAGTTATACCATGAGGTTAAGATAAAATGTACAACATATTCTCTTGCAAAAAGGTTGTAAAACTTTTTTTAAAAGGATCTGTATAGGCGTTTCGGCCCCCTGGCTACTCGAGTTAGCATAAGCAAGATCAGCAAGCCAATGCTTCTTAGTTTTCTGGTCTGTTAAATATCTCCATATCAATTGGAATAAACCACTTGCGTATAAGATTTGATGGGTATCCTCGATTCGAATGCAGTTCTGTCGATGGAGTCTCTATTTGTAGGTTTAGTAGGGTTCTCTTTTAACGGCTACGAAAGCAGCCTCTGCTCTTTTGTGAGCCAAAGCCTTCTTTCCACTTAGAAGTATTCTCTGGCCGCTCGGCCGCCAAAGTACGCAGTAGTCAAAGGAAATTCTTAGCTTTAGATATTTTCTTGTCAAGTTTCTCTTATAGAAGAAAGC